TGAGTCGATTGAAGCTAGACCACAATCGAAAACCTGGAAGCACTGGACGGCCGTTTCGTCCTATTATGGGACTCCTCAGCAATGCGCATCCACGATCCCGCACTCGCGAGATTCGAACCCAGGACCTACCGGTCTCGAGCCAGAGCCCCTAACCGACAGACCACTTAGCCGGCATCCAAAGGTGTAAATGGCTAACTTCAACCGATCCACGATGTTTGGGCAACCGTTCACCAATTGTCTTCAGTGAGTTGTTATCTCATAACAATAGGTATCATACATATGGCAAATAAATAAAATTATTACAAAAACCCATGCTATATGTGATGCTAAACGCAGTTCATATAAAACTGTAGCAAAGAACATAATAATGAGCAAACGTCATACTGAAAATAAAATCAATGCTATACTGAGCAAAATATTACAAGAAAAGAAAAGTTAAAACGAATGTCACTATTGACAAAACAACGTGCCGAAAATATTCTACTGAACGGTTATCATACAATTAAAAACTGAAGTAGCGTTGAATCAAAATCACACTGAGGTAAAAAAGTGATTTTGCCTTCTTATTCCGCCTTAACATGATCGTTAACGAAATAGTCGTGGAGTTGTTGATGTATATACATATCCATCTACATTCTCTCTAGTAGCGAAATCGTAGATCTAGTTTTGTCAGTTCATATATATAAGAACCGGTCAAAAATACACAGGCAGCATTCATATTGTATACCTAAGGTCAACTAATCCAATTTCACATTGTGATATTTCGTAATGGATGTTCGACTAATGAACGAAATTACTTTAGATAAATCATTTGTCATTAGTTTTGATATTTCAAGCATAACCTTAACATTTAAGAACTAAAATAAAACTTGAACGTTATTGATGTTACTTGGAAAGTATTAGGTTAATTTTATGTAAACGATTTTTGTCTACTGAATTTAGTTTGATATATATTTTTTGACTGACAAAGCATTTTAGATTTCATATAGAAAGTAGTTAATGTATAGTTCCAATCATGAACTGGTTGTAGACTTACATTCGTCACTTTCTACTTGTTTGTGACTACAAGTTGTTTGGCGAGACTAAAGAACATGGACGAGCCAATCAGGAGCTTTCACGGGTTTCCAAGGTCACGGCTGTAATTTCGGAACATGATGCTTACGTACGATCGCTTTACAGTGGATTTTTGAGAAGACGTGATAATTGAGCGACTACAAGAAAAGGGATTATTAAGAAGCTCCTATACTTGTTACTGCGGTAGTCAAATGACCATTGTACGGTGTGCAGACTATCTTGATGATATCATCTTTCGATGTCCTTCATGTTGGAAGAAGAAATCAGCTCGAACAGGGACTTTTTTTGCTCGGTCAAAATTAAGGTTGAGACAAATTATGCTCCTTGTTGCGAATTGGATAATAAAAGCACCGGTAACACTAGCTGCCACCTTTGCTGATGTAAGCGAAGTTTCGGCAGTTCAATGATACGAGTTTTGCCGAGATATTTGTGCAACAAAACTGACAAGCGTACAGAAATTGTATGTAGGAGTGGGGAACATTGTTGAAATAGACGAAACGGTTGTAAGGAAACGCAAATACAACCGTGGCCGTTGTATTAAAGAAGATTGGGTAAGTATCTCTCCCACAAATATACCTCACAGGTCCTTGGAATACATGATAGATCATTACAAAAAGGATATTTTCAAAGAGTCAGGAACCGGCAGGCACCAACAATCATACCGATTATACAGCAATATGTGCTGCCGGGCACTACTGTTTATACAGATGATTGGAGAGCGTACAGGTGTCTAGGTAGACTGGGATATGTGCATGAAGTCGTTATACATAAGCGCCATTTCGTTGACCCTACTACTGGGGTGCACACTAACAACATAGAAGCTATGTGGTCAAGACTGAAAGAGTTTTTGAGACCCTATCATGGCTCCAGAGGCAGACTACTATGGAGCCATATGGATGAATTCATTTACCGCATGCAATATGATTTTAGAACTTCTGAACCTATATCCAACCTTGATAAGTTTTTAACTCATGTAAAAGAACAGTATCCACTTTAATTCTTTGGTTTTGTATAATAAATTTTTACTATACACTAACCGTCTTCTGATTGGCTAATATTTCTCAAGGTCATTTAAGATTCGTTCAAGGGTCGTCCATGTTCTTTAGTCTCGCCAGTTGTTTTTTAAAAAAAATTAAAGATTTCTTACAAATTACCTACGAGATCAATGATGTCCATTACTCACTAGTAACATGTCTTACAATAGATTTCATTAGACTCTGTCTCATGTATGCTTGTAAATACAAGCTGTTAAGAAACTTTAAAATAAGTATTGAAAACACAGTACAGTGTATCCTGATTATCAGCGGTTCCCAAGATAAATGTCGATTTATGATAATAACCAATCTTGGAATTATACCAAAGCCAAGGATAACAATTTAAACAGAATAACATGATTACATTTCATATCCCTATATTTTCTCAGCTATTTCTTACAACTCGTAAGATCTGAAAATTAGATTCAGGATCTTACAGACTGAATGCCATACCAACATTTTCTTTAGTCCTTTTAGGTTTATTTAAACCTTCATTACAAAAATCGAATTTATTTTTACAAGTATTATAAACCATATTTTTCTTATTTCGATCTCTTTTCTTACTTTCTCTTTTATCTCATCACACTTATACGATACGACAGCTTGGGACGACGTATATTATCTATTCTAGGTTGCTCTATGATGTTTATGTTCAGATTTTCTCATTTTGATTTCAAAATATTATAAGTTGTAAGCAACAGTTGAGGAAAATCTGTCGATATGAAATAATTTCATATCATCTTGTTCAAACTGTTATTCCCACACATTTCAATGAAATAAATTGAACTATGTAAATTAAAAATAATATGATGAAATGTAATCAGATCAACAAACCTATCCAGATTAAAAACTCGAGATCACAGTAGATGCTTCGAAAAGAATCCCTACTGTTTATTGTATCATGATTAGTAGAAACTAAAAGAACTCTATAAACTATTTGCAAGACTTTAGATTACTGAGAAAAGCTCGTATCCACTATATTGGGCCTGAATGGGTGGCAGAAAGAGCTTAAAAAAGTACGAACGGAAGTGGTGTTTCATGTTTTAGGAAAAAAACCTATCAGAAATGATTTATGCCTCTTTCTTTTCAAGTTGGGACTTCAGATACCACGTTAATTGCAATGTACTGAATTATAAGAACTGAACTTACCATTTCAGATTCCTTAATAGGTGGTTCAATTAGAATTGAAGTATAATAGTTTCTCTACTGAAAAAAACTCTACTCTGAAATTCTGATAAACCTACCAATATCTGTAGGCGGTAATAGAAAGAGTTTTTGAAGGATATGAAACCTTGATACTGAAAAGAAAGTACAATAGTATATGGGACGGAAAATCTAACATCCAAGTAATTAGTATCTTTAACAGTAGTAGGTTTTTAACAGTTTAACCAATTACTAATCTCAAAAAGTTTATGAATCATGTAGAAGTATTAATTTCCTTTAATTTATACTATAATCTATCCATTCCTATGGATGCCTTCCAACTGAGAACTCGAATCGGTTTCCTAGATGTTTCTATTAACCCTATACTGAATCAACCCGGCAACTTCAACATGAGAGAGGAGTCACAGTGCGAAAAGAACGCTTTAATATCAGTTTAATTTATGTACGGAAAATTGAGGGTTTTTATAGTATTTCAGATAGCCTTGGGCTTCTGGCTGTTTCTGAAACCATACTAAACATAATAACAGGATAAATAATCATTCAATCAGAAATTTGACGCGTAACTCTTTACTTTCTAAATGTTTTTAAAAATCTTTTATCTATCATTTATCGGATAAAATGTTTTTCAGGGTTTTCAGGGCTTCTCTGAACTTTTTCGAGGAATACTTTGAATTTCTTCAACATGTATAATCTGTTTTCTGATTGATTAAAATGGTGGAAAACTCTGAATCACTTTAATATATTACTCGATGTCGACGTCATAATTGAACTTTACATTATTTGTTTACCATATGTAAACGAAAAACTAAGATAACTCAGTGAAATTAAACCAGGTATTTATTTTTGTATATATAAGATACTTTGAAAATGTAGTAGGACATATCTCATGAACTGTAAATAAAACGAAATTTATGATTTGTTTTCTCAATTGATTGATCACTGGGTGGTGATCAATGTCATGCGTGTCAAGTCCTTCTTAGTGCTGATCGAATGCTATTCTGTTAGACAACAACATAATGAAAAACATTATACTCAAGTACAAGTTTTATTCATTAATTCTTTTTTTTCTCCATATTATTGAAAAATCTTATAATTAGGGGGTTAGAAAGCAAATAAATAAATTTGTTGTTATGTTTATAAAAAAAATAATCAAAATTTATCTTTATCGATTAAATAGGTCAATATAATATAGAATAAAGTTAAAGATTAAGGAAATAATTAAATGAGACTAGTTCCTTTAGTGAAATCTTAATTTTTGGTTACATGAAGTAGATGAAAAGCAACAGAGTATTTATCTCTGCTCTCTAACCCATAAAATTATATTTAATTCAATATTTAAAACGTAAAATATGAGATTCTCTCCTATTAAAGTGAACAAAGTTTCATTATTTAAAATGAATGATGAATTGGGTAAAAAAAAGTTTCCGTTTTCTAGAAAGTGTATGGATACATTATAAAAATTCATTAGTAATAATGAGTTAGTTACGGAGATAAGGGAAAGGAGAAAGAGAGAGATGTTTTTGAATGTTAGTTTTTTTCGTAATTGAAACATTCAATGAAGTACAAATATTAATAAAAATTGTTAGTATTTTGTTGATTACTGTCAGCTGTGAAATAGTAGTTGATGATGTCATAAAAAGGTTAAAAACAAGCACTGATAAAGTCAATAAAATCAATAGTTTATATATATTATATATATGTCTGCATGTATATATGTATATTCCAATATCATTCCACATTACTTTGATAACCATTCGTTACTGAATAAACTTGTACTCCTCCTACTTTGGCAGTTAATAACAGATTTGATTGTTTTATTTCAGCTGGTGGAGTAGACAAAGGTCTTAGTTCTCTGTAATAAATCTTAAGAGAATTTCAAAAATAAATAAAGAAAACAGTAATGTTAAACAAAAAATAATATGGCGTTTTTGTATGTATTTATCAAACATCGTTAGAATTTACTTAGATAGATGTAAAGATTTTGGTATCACTTCATAAATGCAGAATTAGTCAGTTCCAATGGTCTGGTTAGTGACGAGTAGTCTTCAAAAACTTTTTTATCTTTAAGTTCATACTTATTTCCAATGAACTACTTTGTTAGGTTGATCTCTGGTTATATGGCGTTGAATTTATACTGATGTCTATCCACTCAAAACTAGAAACCATTTAGGCATTCCAGAAATTTCTTAACCTTTCTACAGTTTCTTCACTCTGATATGTTGACATTGTCTTAATCAAATTCACCTCCATAATTGTTAACATAAATTGACATAACTAGTACTATGTTATCCTGTTAAACTAATGTGTTCATAAATATGTGGATGGAAAGGACGTCTAACAAATCGTTCGGTTACAGTAGGTGAAACTTATGTTGTAAATGATGATAGATTTGTCCTTTTCCGTTATTGCAATCCTTGTTCTGATTGAAATTGGATTTATTATGTGAGCAAGATTAATTCCAAAGAAATTTCAGAGTATTTTCATAGATGGTTAATTTTCTAAACATTTTTTGGTGAAACTGCCAAAAAAACTTTTAATTTTGAAATAAACTTAGATGATGTTATACCAAAAGACATTGAAACTTGGCAAGTAAATCATACAATTAAGAAAACCCTACATGAAGCCATATACTTTTGATCATTTTGAAATTGCGTTTTTTTCAGTTAGTGATTATACTGTACTCTAATCTATTGCCTACATACTATACATGCATAGTGTTTATTTTTTTCATCATGAGATGGAAATGATGGTGTGAAGCGCGTCAAGACCTCACTTCTGTCTATACAGATGATTTGTAAAGTGTAAATGAACGAGTTATTTCAACTAATAATGTTAATAGTAAAGTTTTGAGTGAAATACTTATTTGGTGGGTCATTAAATAATAATAGGAAATTTATTGAAGTAAGGATTTTAAAGTTGATAACCACTCCTACATATAGAACTCGCTAATCGTTGTCTTAAGACTCCATTTCATTAACTCTTACACGAGTTTGTCAATAGTGATTTTGTAGGCGATGATGAATATTTTCTAAGACGTAAAAAATATGAGAACGATGAATACAAAAACTTGAGTGTGAACATTTCAGCACTCATGTAAAGGTAATTATGTAACAACAACCAGACAATATTAAGATTGAAAATTGATTAATTGCCAGAATCACTGGAAAGTGTCAAATATATTCTTAATCAGATAAGCATTTCGCTTACTCATAATATCGGAGGACACTTGTCTAAACTTAACTGTAATGAACTTTAGCTGTCCAGTTAGCCGACCAATTTCAAATCTAACCATTATTAGTTTTATATTAACCATATTTGTCTACCTAAGAACACTACAAAAATATTTTAATATCCTAATTATAAATGAAAAAGGGTTGTCGGGGAAAAATTGCTCGTTTGTAATAAAAAGTTAAATATCATTTTGTTCAGAAATAAAAACATCTCGTAGTTAAACAGTAAAATATGAACTTTGAAGATTAGTAACACCTTAAACGCCTAAACCTCTTAGTAATTTCAGCTAAATTTATCTATGTTGTATACACAGATTAAAATATCAGTCAATCCATTGAACCAATACTGTCTGAAAAAAAAGTTTTACACAACAAAAATATCAAGTATCATCATTCATATTTTAGGAGTGAAATCTGTTTAAACGTACCTTCTCCATTCTACTAGGAACTCTATTTAAAATACCGAAAAATAATGTAGTAGATGGTCTTTGTTGATTGCGCATTTTACGTGTGAACTTTTTCAGAGCTGGATAAATGTGACAAAAACATTTTTAAAAAATAAAAAAACCCAATAAAATGGACTACAAACTTTACCATTTAAAAGGTATACATGAAAATGTTATGATTCACATGCAAATGCTTTAATACAAGTATAAACTTCTGATGTTTAATTATTCTACTAGACATCAAATTGATGCATGGTGGTACATTAGGACTCATTGATCAGACTATGTCACCAGAGAATTCATATATCCTTGGTCACAATGCAGGACTGGCACACATGTAGGAGCTATATTATAAATTATATCTTATTACACCGATTCTCGTCTATCTGTGGGTTACTCAGTGGTATCGAGTTAGATAAAGTGGATTATGATTAAAAGATGTTCTTGTCCTTATTACTTTGAACACATATCTATGATACGAAATTTGAGTCATATCACGTTATTAAGATGATAACTTTTTGAATGATTAAATACATATTGGTCATAGCTAAGATAACATCAACTGCACACTAAAGGCCATTTTTACGATAAACGGTAGTATTTGGCGAGTAATTCAGTTTTCCTGGATGATCGTCACTTGGCCAAACTGTTCACGCAAATTCAGACTACTTATTGTGGTTATCAACGCATAAACATACAGTCCTCTTACTGTCATAATAGATATACAGACGGTTCCTGAGAACTGTAATCCATTTGTGAACAAATAGATTTATTTATGCCCATTAAGAGTACAGGGTATTCATCGGTTACTGGCATCCGACCATAGGTGTCTACGAAGCAATGTTCGTGTATTTTGGGACCACTGAGTGAGCAATGCCTAGGTTAGGAATAAGGTACTAGTAAGGATGGCAAATCGATTCGTGAGGTAGTAAATCTTCATCAACTGAGGTGGTTGGGACATGTATTACGTATGTCAAAACAATGCCTATCTCGACGGGCGTTGTCGTCTGGTGTAGGAGTAGTCTGGAAGAAAGCTAGGGATGGTCAAACCAAAACATGGCATCAATCCATGAATTCATTGGCTGTTGGACTGAGCTGGGTAGGTGAACACAGACGACCTGGTTGGGGTCCTTGCAGTTATCACATCAAATGATTAAAGGTTTTGTACGGTATAGCTCAAAATCGTTTTTAATGGTGCAGGCGCACCCATTCTTTGTCTCCCCCGAACTCTGAGATTCTAAATTCCCTATAATTTTTTTATTTCATCAATTTATATTTTCTTCTCGACCTGTATCCTTAATGCTTAATCTTTATAATCACCACTTATACTATTACTACCTCTACAATTCTTGCGTTTTTCCTGACATCTCTCTATGCTAATGACTTAAATCCAACTTGAAAGTACAAGGTACTACGATGGGACCGACTTGCTGACTCAGCAAACAATCAACCAAATTACCTCGGCTTTATGGGGAGTAAGTTGCGGCCTAAATAACCCAGTGGTAATGTAATCAACCGTAACATAAGGTAATGCCAGGCTGAGAACCACAAGGAGAATCAGATTCCCCCCATGCTGTCTAGCATGAAACATAAATCAAAGCTTGTCTGAAGATTGTATAAGACTACCTAACAAGTAATTCTGTTTGATTCGTCACTTATATAAGTGATTTTGCCTAGATGTTTTTATGATTCAAAGCCAATTTTCAGCAAACCAAATAAATTATATTGAGAAACTATTAAAAAGTCAAGAAACCGTTATATTCTATTTTAGAACACTTCTGTGTACACTAACTAGGCTACACTGAATAGGACCTATATATTACGATCTATGACATCCGATTCGGATAAATACTCTTCTCATGTGTTTTCCCAATCATTTATCCATACAGACAGAGAAACGACTATGAAACTTTAATTTACAAAACCGAACCCATAGATACATAAATCAGTGTTACATACACATTTGTCCTTCTGATCCAAACAAGAATATAAAGGCTGACAACTGAACTAGGAGCACAATTAGGATCTTTTGATAAAATACCTCTTTTATAATCTTTTTATTGCTGCTTGACTTTAGGGTGACGTTTGAATATAAAAACGTGACCTCCTTAGACTAGTCCACCTACACTAAAGATCTCACTGAATGCACTATCATTTAAGGTCACATAATTGCAATCAAAATTAAATCTGTCACATTTATAATATCCAATATCATCTATGAGTCGTCGTCTTATTGTTGGCTTGATAAATTCTACACTCCATAGTTTTTTTTTACTGGATCTTTAAGAAATTCATCTCAAAGTTAATCAGTAATCACTTAATTTAATAGTAAAATGTGCTTCATGTCAGTTTTGAACAATTTAGCAAAATCTTACAAATTGTAACGTGAATTATCTTTAAATGTTATTCAGTTTTATATATAGACTTACTATATCCAAAAATAATATATCGTAAAGGTATGAAATAGAGGATTATTGAAATAATTAAAATAGTCACCAAGAATAAACAACTTAACGAAGGATATCTCCATCTGCATAAACTATGAAGGCAAATGAGAGAAAATCAAAAAAGAGGGGTTCATTGTGGCATACTGACTTGACTATTCATGTTGAGAGCAAACAAGTTGACAACAAAGAATGAAACCCAGTCAGACCATTGAAAAATAGTTCAACTAAAATTTGTAGAAGGAACAAAGTTGACCGAATCATTATCGTTAAATTTTAATTTAATCCAGACTAATTAATATGGTTTCTATAGAAACATAGTGTCCAGTTTTTTTCTTATCTGTGTTCTTTACTAGAAAGCTTCAATGTGGTATGAAATAGAACAAATGGACTGTGGATAGACTTGGGATCCAGGATACATTCTTTGTCCTATCTGGAACTCGTCAGCTGAATGCATCTGAATCACACTGTTGATGTTCACGTTGAAACTCAAACTCTAATGACAGTCAAGTCGTAACATGGCGCCTCTCTAAGAAAATAATCACTTAAAGCTATCCGCTAACCAATCACCTTTCCACAAACAATGAAATCACCATGATTGTTACTTATTAAATCATACCTAAACGAAAGGTTACAACCATGAAGTAGCAGTTCAAATTATATGACGTTTTAAATCAACTGGTCAGTATCAGTAATTGCCACAATTGCTTCAGATCATACCTTCGTTTGGAATACTTCTCCATCCAGGAGGAGAATTCCAATAAAACGAAGAAGCTCACATCATTTAGATTGTATCTTATTATGAAGGTTAAATAGCGACAATCAACATAACGTTCTTAGTAAAAGATCACTTACAGGTGACAAGTAATACCTTATTATCTAGTACCGAACGTCAAGTGGATTCTATTGATTAGACTGAAATATGGTCTCTTGTCTAAATAAGCCAGCATCGTCATGTATTTTATTTGATATTAGATGGTTAGACACAATTGACAGGAGGCTCAAAATCTAAGTTAACTGTTTTTTAGCAAGGTGTATCTGAAATATTGATGGAACCGATGATTTTTGTAGGATCCCAATCCCACTATGATACTGAGTGATGGCTATCAGTTATTAAGAATAATCCAGTCAGCTGGTAGATGAATCTTTAGCTTAATATTTTTGACTCGGTGCAATAAGATTTACATTTTCGGGTTAATTATCTAACAACCAGAAGAGATTTCAGCAATTTTTCATCTACATATCTGATTAAATGAGAGGATAGTTTCATTTAATTCAACTAAAGGTCTACCGTATCAACAATAATCAAATTAGGCGTAGAACTTTAAACATCGATTAACAGGTAAATAATATGTTCAACATATATGCCAACTAAAGTGTTATGATATTTGATAGCAGTTTTCTCTGGGGAGAAGTTTTTTTGTTGTTCTTCTGATTTATTTATCCTTTTACGATTTACTATGTTGAACAATTCAAAACGCAAGGTATTGAGATTTTTACCTGTAAACATAATTCAGGCTGTTTATATGCATTAAAATTTCGTCTAAAATGATCACATTTTCATATGATATATTTTTCCATTTCATGTTGAACCGTTAAAGGATTCATCAGAGTATAATCAATGCATTTATGATTATTAAGTCCTGGAAGCATTCGGTTGCGGCTAGGTAACCTAACGATTAAATAATTACTGGACATTTCTTGAGCATATGGAAAACCTGTTGCTTTTAGCTATTACCTTTGTGTTGAATAATCTTTTTTTAATTAATATTGTGAAGTAATGAATTTTTAATGTACTTAATGTATACCTCTTGAATAGCATCTGTTATCAAGTGAGATATATAATTTCAGTTAATAGGTTACCTAACCAAGTATTGTCACTTTGGACTAAATCTGGAGTTTTTTTATGTCAGTCGACATATACGATATTGCACACTATTCCCAGTCTATTAGTGGGAATGTAAGAGATATAGGTAATTAAAGGGATTGAAGTTCAAAAACATCATTTTGTCACTGGATAGATGAGTAAATACATTTAGTGAGCTACAGTAAATCAACAGCTACCTATGGTTTTCAGAATCAAATATTTAACTAAATTGGGTTGATTCATTATCTCCAATATCCAACAATCTCCACAAACCCCCATGCTAATATGTAAGAAACATTGAAGCATTTTAATACCGCTAAGCCTCAATAAAAGATAATTGTTAGCGTGATGGCATTCAAAGTTCATCATCCTGACAAAGTGAAATCATGTCTAAGAATTTTAAGCTGAGTTGTCTAATGTATGTTGATATAAGCATTATTATCAGAGATGAATGGTGGCTAGTAGTGGAATTCAGGACGCGCTTTTCGTCTTGTTTTTGACTCGTCAGCTGGACTCAGTAGCTAAGTGGATAATACGATAACGTTTGAAGCGAATGATAACGGTTTCAGGTTTCGGTGTGAACATCAACCCTGAGATCCAAGTACATCCATATCACTGGTCCAAAACAGAACGAAATGCACGTCCTGGCTTCCACTGGTAGCCACTATCCATCTCTGCTTATAATGCTTCTGACTTAAGGCGATATCGAGGCTGTCTTCAAAGGATGCACATGTGCCAAAAAAGCTTGACCAATTGCAGTCCTAAACGCCTATGGAAGGATTCAAACAAGTAATACAAGATGAAGGACTCTGATATAGTTTAGTTTATTTATTTATTTTATTTATTATTATTAGCTTTATTCAATATTATATTTTTGGTACAATATGGAATTCTCAGCACAAAGTACTTCAACAAGTTTCCGTTTCTTACTTCTTCGTCCTTCCTGACGATAAATATTGAGTGATCGCCGGTTAGAAGTTAGCAGCCCAGTCAATCGACATCTGGATAATGTACATTCTTCTCGCTGCATATTGCCAGCAACCACGATATCTCTGATTAGGCCTTCTGTAACCTTTACAGCGAAAAGTCTTGCACTTTTCAGAAACGCACCTGAATAGGTTGTGCGAATAATAAGCATAATGATGTATTAAAACAAACAAAATTAGATAACTTGTTGAAATATCTAGATGACAGGAACAGGTAGCCCAGTTGTTTAAACAGGCCGCCATTTAAATGTGACATAGACATTTTAATATTAGTTTTGTTGATGTTTTGTTAATTAATCCATGTCAATATTCCTGATTATTGTGATACTACTAACCGCAAAAGTAGAGATTAAAATACTATCAAACGAAACTATTTTAATAGTTTAACTTACTAATTCAGTCGTTCGAGGAATGATGTTATCGACTCAGCAATATCTTGCAATGTTCCGAGTACAGAACGAAGCTTATTTAGCTTTGCTGTTAAACTAGATTTTTTATCTTTCTAAAGTTATAAAAAAAAAGATGAAAGGCTTTGACAAAAGAAAAAAAGATTTTCACTAAACTTTGTCATAGATTTTTATCAGTTCTGATTGATTTACTATAATGATTCTTTCAATCTTTGAGAAAACCACAAATCAAATATACGTGTATTTTAGCAGATTACTTAGAATAAACAAATTATATGGAACAGAATGAGAAAAAACCACACTATTTATTAATAAAGTGATGTTCAAGGAAACACAACCGAGTATCCTTTTGTGACTTTATATCTTTCAGTTATATGCTTTTGTGATATAAAGTCTATGGTTTATTAATTGCTCATATTTATACTAATGGGTTACTGATTAATAACCGTTGTGAATAATTCAGTCCTACAAAAAGTTAGTTGAGATCAGACTAGCTCAGTGGTGGTGTATCCGACTATAATACTGGGTCACGAGGGTTCTAATCTCACTGAAAGCACGAATTCTCTTTGAATTATGGATACTCATTGCTCACGAGTGACAACTAGTATAAAAAATAGATCCAGAATATTCTGCTAACTGATTCCAGCTACCGAATTACATAGTGTTGAATGAAATAAAGACGAATCTACAATGTAATGAGTTAGGGATTAAAATTCTGAAGTGTTTCAATCAAGACAATAATTAATAAACAATAATCCAAAGAACAATTAATTTAGTTTTTTAAATATATTAATGAAGAATACCAGTCAATCATTTAGCCAGAAACAACAAGGATCCTGGCAAAAGTTGTATCCCTCGCAACTACTATATTTAACGTGAGTACAAAAGGTGAGATGGTTAGCAAGATGAAATGTATGGGAAAGTAATAATAATATCCATCGCACTCCGGAGCTAATTATAAGAAATACGGATTACGATAGAATAAATGAAATGAAAGACTACATATCAAGTAAGAAAGGAACTATTCAACAAAATGCTCTTTTCAAAATGATAAGGGGAACTATATATATAAAATGTCGTCGACCGAAATTCCCAGTTAGTCTAAGAAACTTGTAGCAGAAGATTACTTACTAATCAAGGTAAAACATTTTTGAGAGCCAAGATAATTCACACCTAGAACTGTCATCAACCGAATAAAGTATCGAAGGAGGCACTGAACGAATGTTTCGTCTAAGCTTCAGACTCCATCTTGCGTAAACTCAAAGCCTAAATTGGGTTCGAACACACGATGTTTACATCTTGTGGTAAGCATTAAACCAATTAGTTGTTGAGTATTAAGTTGCGGATTAGAATTTTCTCACCTCAGTTAATTAAGGATGATTTTGGTAGATATCTAGTTCCATTGTGAGGATACACTAGTTATATGAGTTAAAACTTTCAGTTCAGTATTTGATACTAATTCGCTTAAAATGGATCAAGAAAGATTTTTCTGGAAGTAACTACACGAGCTGTTAAACAACTAAAGATTGATAATGATTGATATCTGGTGATGGCCTATTTGCTGAAGATCCCTAAAACTAGCATAAAACTATGGATACTGATTAGTGCTTTGTTTACAGTATCGTTTGAAATGTTATTAATTTGTGATTAAGACCGTCTATAACACATAAATTTATTAAAAAACCTGTAATTTTTTTCATTCTTTTTCTCTTAACATTCCCCTCTATCCATTAGATATTTTAAAAACAACTTTCCTGATAACTTGTACTCTATATGGTTTGACTGAATAATTAAAATGAATAAAAATGGATTATAATGTGTGACAAAGATTCAGAATTTTTATTACTTCAGTCTCAGAGAAAGTTTAACATGTAATTTTTCTATTTTCCCATCTAAATAGAAGTTTATTAAGTAACAACTGAACACATAATGGGTAGAAATTCAAATAGTTATAACGTCATTGTGTTTCACAATATTTTTAATATGTTGTTTGAATGATCAACCTACATTTTGTCAATTCATTGTCATGGAGGCTGACAAGAGTGTATATCTTGAAACGTTTCTTCTTATAAATTAAACATCAAAACCAAGGTCAAAAATAAGGTAACTACCTTTCTCTTCAAAATTGCTTCATCTTCATCATCCATATCAGAGTAGTCACCATAAATCTATAAATTGTGATCAATATTTATTATCAAAATCAAATTTGTTACCTCTGGATCAATGATGTCTTGATCGTCTTCGTTCTAAATAAGAGAAAATTTATTGATTTCAGCTTAATGTAGTTATAATAAACACTTGAACCTACTAAAATATTTTACGAATAGGTAAAAATCTGATGACTAAAATACTTTTTGGAAGTTCTGATTTGATAGTTTTACGTAAAGTTTAGGGTGATTGATAAATTGCAAACTTTGTATTCTTAACTTCCAAGTCTCGGAACTTCCTATCGTTTGTCCCATGTTAAATTTAATAAACATAATTTCTTTTACAAACTTTTAGACAGTTGAGACATACTGAGAATAATCATTTGATACCTCTTGCATTAATCAGTAATCAGGTAGATAAATTTTACAAGTGAACAAATACATGGTAGCTTCCTTAAAGGAAACCAGATATTGACTGTGAGTGAAAACTGTTTATAAGCACCAAATTAGGATAAAACAGCTGTTCAGTGTTATCTGGTCTCTAAAAATCTCGTCAGCGGATATCAATTAATTATTTAGATTTATCTTTAAAACGTATTAATTTATTACAAATCATTGAAAGCAACAATCAATTTTTTGCTTTGTTCACTCACCTCCTCGCTATCTGAATCTTTAGATCTAGAGAATCGGAAGAAATTTATTGATGTTGGGGAAAATAATGATGATGAAGTGGAATATATCCTTGGGACAATCAACATAATGATCATAAATAAAGCCAAGAAGAAACCAATCATGTATGGTTGAAAAAATAAAACAGCCAATTCAAAAATTATCAAACTGATTAATGATACAAATGGTCTTTCCCATGAATAAAGTTTATGAAAAGTTTGTCCACTTTTTTTTATATGATCTATATACGGTGTAAGACGATCAATATTGCGTTGTAAGAGCTAGATAATTTCAAAAAAAATCAATAACAAGGGAAACAATGAAAAAATATTAAATGAAAACTATCATTATTGAACTTAAATATTTTTAGTAATCATTTCTGAAAGCTTATGAACAATTAAAATTATTATTATTATTAGCTTTATTCAATATTATATTTTTGGTACAATATGGAATTCTCAGCACAAAGTACTTCAACAAGTTTCCGTTTCTTACTTCTTCGTCCTTCCTGACGATAAATATTGAGTGATCGCCGGTTAGAAGTTAGCAGCCCAGTCAATCGACATCTGGATAATGTACATTCTTCTCGCTGCATATTGCCAGCAACCACGATATCTCTGATTAGGCCTTCTGTAACCTTTACAGCGAAAAGTCTTGCACTTTTCAGAAACGCACCTGAATAGGTTGTGCGATTAATAGGCATAATGATGTATTAAAACAAACGAAATTACATAATTTGTTGAAATATCTAGATGGCAGGAACAGTTAGCCCAGTTGTTTAAACAGGCCGCCAATAGTCGTAGAGGTATTATCCTCATTAACTAGTCGTCACGTTATACAAGAGGAAATACTTCAAAAATGAGAAAAATTTGTTATATAAAACTTTTTAGTTATTTAACATTACGTAATAGATGAGATAGTTTTCAAGTTAAATGTTACATAATTTAATAGAAGTAACTATTTTTCTTTCATTGAATGTGACTAGTTTATTGAGTAAATAACTGATCACTTATGTAGATGTTTACAACAAAACAGCTTAATTAAAAATCAACATTTTATGCTATCGGTTAATGTGGTAGAATTTTATTAATCTTGACTCAGATTCACATTGTTACGTGATCTGCATGAATCACTCAGAGTAAATCATTCAATAAATTTTTTTATTACAATTTTAAGTTGAAAATGTTTGTAAAGAGTTGTACTACTGCAATTTAAACATCCTCATAGAATATTCAAAAATGAAGAATATTTGAGCGAACAACTGCTTTCGATAACTTCATTATCAGGCGCTACAGTTATAATTCCATAATTCTGATATTTTAAAAAGGCCAAAATATACTTCTGTTAAATAGCAAATCTTTACAGTCAAAAAGTCAGATACTGTTTAGTGTTTCTGTGGCTTTGAAAGAAAAATATTGCATTTATCAGTCTAAGTGTATTTTCATTGTCGTACAAACACACTTGTTCATATTCTATTTAATAAGTTACATCCGAATATTTTAATAAAGCATGCATTACTAGTTTCAACTGAATAGGGTAACAATCTATTTTGAAACATGATAAATCTTCTGACTGTACACTTACATTGGTTTCCTAAACTCTTCTAAGATCCTCAGGCTAACTCTACACGACAACTTGAACATGAGAAAAAGGCGCGTAATATGTAAAGTACGCCTTACTCCGAGGTTATTTTATGTACAGAAAATTGAAGATATTTATAGCATTTTAGACAGCCTTGGGTTTCTGGGAAGTTCCGGAACCCTATTACAAATGGTAGCAGGATAAGTAACCATCCAATCAAAAATGTGACACGTGACTTTTCACTTTTCAGATGTTTCTGAGAAACTTCTATTCAGCGCTTACTGGGTAAAATGTTTTACACAGTTTTCAGGGCCCCTTTGGGCTTTTTTTCAAAGAATTTTCCGGGTCTCTCTAACAGAATAAAACATGTTTTTAGAGATAACTCGAAATACTATACCACCCATCAACTAAAAAAACATATTTCTTAAAAAACCACTCAGCTACAAAATCCACATTAAGTCAATGTCAGGATCACCTGAACATGAGTAATGAATATAATGCTAGAATTGATTTGGACTGATAATGACGTTAGGCTTGTCACTGAGACACTAATAAACTGAATTATATTTCTAGAGGTACTACAAGACTGTAAATAATCCACCTAGAGGTCATGAAACTACTACTAATTAAGTCTTGAAGCCATCAGTTTTCTTTACCTGAAGTCTAGAAAACACTGGTGATCTATCTAAAACTACTGCTTGATCATTAATTTATATAAACTTTTCAAACGTAGAGGAAGTTAAATTGGGTTAGAATTTCCAGGGGAGCATTGGTTCTCTAAAGATTACAGAAACATTATTTTCGTAAATGCTAACTAGTAAAAAACGTAGACTTAACAATTCATTTTCAATGCTTACAACCATCTTACTGTAAAGTAGGTGAATTATGATTTCTAGTCATTTAGAATAATAATTATGTTTTAAATTTGGTGCCTAGTGCTCTATTAAACCGCATGTTATTAGCCAAATTCCATACAGAATTTGAAAAGTAAAATCTACACTTATACACTAATTTTTATTAACGTTTCCTAAAATAACTACAATAACCATTAAAAATATAAAGTCATTAAGATTGACTTACAGGTAAATGCTTCTTTGTAAAATCCTACAAAATAAAATTATTACACAAATCATTATAAATTAATTGAATTTTAGGACTCATCAAATGGATAAGGATTACGTTTTATAAATCATATTTTAACTCCAGTAGATCAATAAAACTTTAACTAGTTCCATGCTTTACTGAACTTCTGCTCAATAAATAATTATCAGATAAGAGCAAACGGCTGAAGAATTTATGAAGATTACCTTGAATTACAGATAGAATTCCTCCTGAATTGGCTTACTTACTTGAGAGCATACAACTGCTTTTTACCTAGTATGAGATTTCGAAGTATTGAGTGCTCATAGCCATATCAGAGAACAAATACAATATCCACAATTTTCGAGGCTAATGTCCGACTTTTAGGTTACTCAGTTAAAGTTCAGTTCTCCACATTTTAGGGATACAGCACGACAATCATCCATCTATACCAGTTACTGATTTTTAATGTCCGAACACAACATTCAGAAGCTGTATTTGATTTTACTGCATATTTATCAGAATTACCATCATTTACAATTATTCAACTAGACTTTATTTCACTCAGAGAGTAAGCTTTTAGTCAGCTCATCCTGTTAAAATAAACAAAACATTTTTTAGATATTAAATATCGATGAAACATGTTAACACATTCCGGTTAATCAACACACAGTAAACCTAATCGATAGAATTTGACTAGCCCATGACATCTGTGTTTTCCTTATGTTTATCTACTGTACAAATTCAATTCGTTTGTGCTAAACAATTTTAAATTTTAATTCATAAAATAAAAAGTTTTGATTAGAAAAGACTATTTTTAAAAAATTTAATTCGAAGATCGAAACAACTTACTCTTAGTTTAACTTTACTATCTTCAACAAATAGACGTTTTTCTTTAGGATATAATGCACGGATTGAAGCTTTAAGCTGTGAATTATAAAATGAAAGGAAAGTAGTTAACGACTGTAGTCCTGTGAAGGTTTTTTCATTTGAAAATGTCGACTGTGAAGCTCATTTTCATTGATTCTATTAATCTAGTGGTTATTAGGCGGAACATAATAACTATTACTGTTAATTAGAATATGACTTTATTTTAGCAACCAACAATTTTTATCTAGTTGTTGAGTGAATTTAATAGCAGAACTGCTTCGAATACCACTACATAAAATTGTTAATTAGGTCTCTATAAGTAAACTGAGATTATTGACTGTTGTGTACTGATTATAAGACCTGAAAGTCCTGTGTTTAATCATTGGAACAGTTGTTATGTTGAACATACCGTACTAGTCAGATTCATATAAAAGTGAATTAATCTCATTAAGGATCTCTTTGGATTTTGGTTAAAATAATCCAAGTGATGTTGACCAACAATAAAGCCTTAAACATTATCGCATTTAGATTAATACTAACAAATTTTAGGATGTCGGCGTAGACCCACCGATTGAAGTCGGTGTAGACATATTAAGATTTATGTTAGGAAGTAATACCCAACCGTAGCCATTACCTTAATATAGTATTCAGACTTGCCTATCGTGTTGAATCAAAAGAGCCATATCGGTTGCAATACCTGTTCCTTTCGGTTATACCTTGCCAGATAAGTCGATTGGAGAACGATGAGATTAAAAGCAGCAATTCGAGGTCTGAGGCTCGAGTTATGCTGCTGATTGTACTAGTGTAACAGTTGTGATGTTTTCCCTCGGGTAATCAGCACCCGCATTAGTTCTACTTTATCTAGATTGAAGAAAAGAGTTAAAAAAAGACAGGACCTAGAAACAACACAACCCACTTTACCCCACGGATTTTCGCCATCAGTGTTGAGTCTTCAAGGTGTGGAGCTAACGACACACTAAGAACTGCTGACAAAAAGGCCATTTGTGGCCAGTCTCAAGCACATGTCCTTCAAGCTCAGCGAGCAGTCTACCAGGTCGCTAGATTCCTTATCAGTATTTCTACAGGAAGAGATAGAAAATAACTTGACACTCAGCTGACTAGGTAGTGTTATTGATTACTTGAATATGTTTCGTAAACTTATACAAAAATATTTGCAAATTTTGATTTCTTTTTCAAAAAACAAATGAACCGAATAAGAATAAGTGAGGTTATAATTTATATGAAAAATTATTGTGGATATGATTGCATAAAGTAAATCTGAACTCATAAAGCTTGTATCATGCCATGTAGTTTAGTAATGGTGAAACGCTAAAAATTGTCGATATATCAATATTCAACATGCGGTTTGGGTATATATCAAACCGTTATGTGGTTTCACGTACAACTAGGTAGCATTGTAGTGGATTATCTTTGAGATAACTCCTAGGGCTTCGTATATAAATCGCCCTGATAGCCGTTATTAAATTAATCCCAACGATGTATGAATTTTAGAAGTCGAAACGCAGCGCCAAGAACAGATTACTAAGCTACAAGCACACCAATTGAATTCGAGAAGAAATGCTAATGTGAGTGAGTAAGCAAATACAAAGACGAATTAAGAATCAAATAATAAATCGAATGCAGAGTCGAATGAGTTAATACTATTCAAGCATATATATAATTCATCGAGTGATGTAAGCAACTAACATTTAGGCTAGAGAGAGGATCATGTGCATAGGCTGTTACTTGTGATCAAGCACCTATGATCATACAGACAAAATTAAAATACATAGCTATAAAAAAATTGTTACCGTCACAACAACACTGTTTTTTAATTAAGTTAATTGAACGGCTTGACAAAATTAAATGTAAACACACTTAAGTCCAGGATAGGTCCTACAATATAGCAAACAGCTTGTACTGAAGGGCTAGAATAGATTTACGTAATAGGATAGAGGTTATCGATATCAGACCACCCATTTTTATGTAAATCAAATAGATTACGGATGTAAACCAACTCGCCAATGTGTCGCATTATTTGAAATTAGGGACTTTTTTATTTGTTTTGTAAACTAATACAGATCACTCAAAGTTCATATGAACATCTTCAAGTTTTTGATTGGTCTTACGTAATCATCTACGGACATGATTCAACTGCGATAACGTCGAATTTCCGGAATTCTAATAATGTCGAAGAATTCCTAATATTTAGATCAGACTGCAATCAACAGACACAATGAGAAAGACATAATCAATCAATCTAAACGAAAACGGTCAGTCAGTTATAATTTCAAAGATCAACCGTGTGATATGGTCAACTTGAATATTATAAGGACAAATGAATACAACCAAAAACTATAAGTGATGTTCTGGAGAACGAAAATGAAATCTCCGTAATAATACCACCTAGCTCATAGAACATAACAAAACCAATAAAATAACATTTTAATCATTGATCAATAAGTAGCTTACAGGATTGAAAATAATAATGGTTTGTAGTAGAATAGAACCTTTAGCTAATGTTGTCAATGATTTATCTTTTAATGCATACCATTTCTGTCGACGATTAACAAGCTGTAAAAACCAAGACAAAGAATATCAAAAAACGGGATAAAATAAAATTCAAAATTTAAGAAAATGACTTCAGATATAATGTTGTTTTATAATTATATAAGGTTGAATTGATAATATTACTCCACAAACATATGTTTATTAAATCATGAAAATTGTCTGATGACATAACTCCCCCTGTAGATCTTCTAGAGTTGCTGCCGGCGCCAAGCTTGGGTAGAAAAGGAGGGTCGGCAACCCCATCCCGTAGAAAAAAAACCTTACTAAAAAACGCTAACCAGATTAAACAAATTAAACCATTTAAACTCTGACTCGGGAGTTGAAGGAAGAATTAGGACGCCTCATAGTGAAAGCTGTGGTTCTTCAAAAGCCACGAGGATGATTACCCTTCTAACAACAAGAGCAATAATTAATATAGATACATGAAAGGCTCGGATAATGTGGCAGACCAGGAGGATCAACCAAATAGCTGCGAGAATTAGGAGATAAAACTTGGTGGTGCTAGGAATCAGTGAGACCCATTGGACACAAACTGGACAGAAAAAGATCAATTCGGGAGAGATACTTTTGCACTCGGGTGATGAAGAAGAAAATGCTGCACACACTCGAAGTGTTCCTCTGATGCCATCCAAAGAAGTATGTTAAGCACTTGTAGGATGTGAATTTCATGGATCCGGGATCACCAAAGCATTCTTCAAAACAAAAAATGAAGGAGTCACAATGAGTGTTATCCAATGTTAGGCACTCACCAATAATGACAACAATGACGATGAAGGTCAGTTTTACAAGAGGCTCTAGTTAATCTTAGATAAGTGCACAGGAAAGGACTTGAAAATCCTGTTGGGAGACCTAATCGTCAAAGTCGGAATGGACAACACCGGATATGAAGATATCAAGGGAAGACATGGACTGGCTGGGAGAAAGGAACAAGAATAGTGACAGATTTGCAAATCTATGGGGATTCAACGAAACGATTTAGGTGGCACAATATTTCCACACAAACGCTTACACAAAGCCATATGGATCTCACCGGACCACACCACAGAGAACCACCAGATCGATCATATTTGCATCAGTAAAATATTCACAAGGTCAATGGAAGATGTGAGAACCAGGAGAGGTGCTGACATAGCTACAGATCACCACCTGGTCGTTGTCAAGATGAAACTGAAGCTAAAGAAGCATTGGACAACTGGACAAACAGTATTACAAAGGTTCAATACAGCCTTCGATATACGAACAAACTCAACCAATTCAAGATAAATCTCAATAATAGGTTCCAAGCCTTACGAGATCTACTCAAAGAATAAGAACCTACGATGGAGGACAACTAGAAACGGATGAAAAAGGAATTAACTCCAACGTGTCAGGAGGTTTGGTTCTGGGTGACAAGAAGCATCATCATAAGGAATGGATCTCGATCGGAACCCTGGACAAGATTCAAGAAAGGAAGAACAAGAAAACAGCAATTAACAACAGTCGAACACGAGCAAAGAAAGTCGAGGCACAAGCTGAGTACACAAAATCAAACTAGCAAGTGAAGAAGAGCATTAAAGATGACGAACAGAAATACATGGAAGGACTAGCAACCATTGTGGAAAATGCTGCAAGGGAAGGGAATAGGAAACAACTACAATTGCAACGAAGAAACTAGTAGGGAGATATAGTAAACCAGAGAAACCAGTCAAGGACAAAGAAGGGAAGACAATCACGGAGATTCAAGAACATAGAAAAAGATGGGCAGATTACTTCGAGGGACTGCTGAATAGATCAACTCCATTGAATCCACCGGACATCGAGGCAGCACACACAGACCTTCCTACACATGTCATTCCACCAACGATCGAAGAAGTCAAGATGGTCAGCAGACAAATCAAGAGTAGGAAAGCGGAAGGATCTGACAATATACCAGATGAAGCACTGGAATCAGACATAGAAGCAACTGCAAAGATTGACCACCTTCTATTCAGGAAGATTTTGGGGAAGAACAATTGACAACAGACTCGAAAGTAGGATATCTCATCAAGATACAAATGAAAGGAGATCTGGGCAAGTGTGAGAACTCAGCTACAGAGGCATTACAATACCATCGTCACCGGGAAAATTTCTCAACAGAGTGTTGCTGAAGCGGGTGAAAAATTCGGTAGACGTCCAGCTTCGTCATCAACAGGCTGGATTCCATAAGGATCAGTCATGTACAAACGAGGTTGTGACACTACGAATCATTGTTGAGTGATTAATTCTCCTGATGGTCAACTGGATTATGAAAACGTTGACATCTCAGTAGAATTGGAAGTAGACATGAAAAGGATGAATAACAACTCGGAAGAACTGGAAAGGATTGCCCTGAATAGAGTTGGATGGAGAATGCTGGTGGGCTGCTAATTCTCCTTCACGAGGGGTAATAGGTGTAAGTAAGTACGTCTGATCACATAATTATTATTTTCTTCTTCTTTTTATTCGATCGTCATCCATTAAAGAAACATTTCTAATGTTATAGAGAAATATGAAATTACTTAATAGTTGATTATAGAGATTAAATTTATGTTATTTGTTGAATGGACTTTGTATTTACGAAGGACATTGGTTAACATTTGAAGACATCTCTGTGAGTGAAATGCATTCAGTAAAGACTTTAACAGTGTGAATTGGAATTTTTATGATTTTACTGTTAAGTTTAAAATTAAATATTCTACCTAGAATCAAGACTTCGTATTGATCAATTTAAAATACCAAAGTGTTCAGTTAATATGCTCAGAAGGCTCCTCATGTAATCAAATGAAGAGAAGCAGTTAAAGTCTCTTTGATTCCAGAAAATTTAACGCATAAATTTATCGTCGTATTGTTTAAGAAACAGGGTACCTATCAGAATAGGGTTGTGAAGATTGTTAAGTTTGATTGAAATCGTGAACTAATTAATATTACACCACCTCTGAAAACTTGAAAGTACTAGATAGTTTATTCGTTCCAGTATGGGACACTTTAGCAGTATGCACCCACAATTCCGCACGCGGTAATCAAGCCCAGGACCCTCAATCTCATGTGCGAACGTTTAAACTGTTGCAGAGGCTGCTGCTACACTAGTTGTCTTAATCTTCATTCGTTAGTGTGTATGGGATAGAAGATCTAAGTCATTTGCGAAGTCCGAATTGTCCAGTTGCATCCAACCTGTCCATTGTATTCCGTGCTTCCCCTTCGATGTTGAGGTCTTCATAATCCAGTCAACCACCAGAAGAAAGAGAAAGGAGGAGGGTAAGTGTTATGTCTGAACCGGTTTCGAATTCACTTAGCGAACGGAACAAAGACTTATGACCAGAGACCAATAAGCTAGCTATTCTGACGCGTCCGAGACCCAGCTAACTAGAGTAAGAATTCTAAGTTGGAAGTGGAGTAAAATATATTCCGTAAGCAGCCAGAAGCACAGCAATCCCAACAAGAAGAAATCAAACGTATATATAGAGCATAAGGTTGACCTTGGGAAGCATTACAAAATAGCACACTAAAAGATACAACGGACCAATAGCGTTTAAGATATTTTCCAAGTGGGAAATACGACTCAAAGGTGAAAGGAGCGTTTTTGGCGCGAAAACAAAGAAATTCAAAATTTCAAAATAAAATCACAAAAGAAAAAGAGAATTCAGCGAAGAAAATTTTCTTTTCGACGAAATCATTTACTTATGCTGTACAAAGTAAGTCATTTATCAAGTGAGTTCTGGGGATTTAATATCCCCAGCCTTGTCTGACTGCGATGCTCACTTGGAATGCGTCTGCCAGTTGTCCTCCTACACTTTGCAGTGTAGTCCGTCGTATGAATTCTGAATGATATTGATAATCTATCCTGGTTCACAAAAGCAGTTCCTTTGATTCGTAGATATCTGAATGATAAGCTTTCTCACTGAGCTTTCTCACACCAGTTTTCAGCTATAAGTTTACTTCAAGCATTGGCTGTTATATAGTCCAACATCATTCATATCGATGCTATTTTCATTATTATTATTATGATTTTGGTTTTAGATACAGTTTGATTGAGAATAATTAAACAACTAAAGACTTATTAATATTATCATATCCATTATTGTAATAACACTTCAAAGTGACTAATGTTCGGATTGTGCATCAATAAAATCCAACTCATTTGTTGTATATATATGATGAAAAATTTGGTTCTAGTTAATTTTATGTTTAATTGATAAGCTAATTAGATGAAAAGACTTTTTGTTTTTCTATATTTATAGATTTTACCACAGATACTTTCATATCCGATTATTCTTTGAAATGTTCTGTTGAATAATTCAATAAAAAATAACACTACTAAAGTGTAGTTATAATATTAGTAGGAATTCTTCAAAATTAACAAATTCTGTATACAAATGAATCATTCATTGAATAAATACAAACAAGTATATTATTTAATGAGCAAAGATGAATAGTGACTAGCAGTGGAATCCAGTTTGACGCGCGTTTCGTCCTATTTGGGACTCGTCAGCTGGATGCACCTGCATCTCAAAGTTGATGTTCACTCGATTGAATAATATTATGTAAAAGATGAAAATAAAAAAAAGCTAATAGAATATACTTTTGAAAGCTAATTTAACTTACTTGTATAAGTGGAAATGAAATACATCCTATCAATTCAGATGATTCTTTACCTTCTTCATAGATATATACTTCCAAGACAGAATACATATCTTCAATTGGACTTGAATTTTTAAAAAAAAAAACAACAGTAAAGGTAAATAATTGAAGTTAAGACTAATTGATTTTGTATCCATTTGATTTTAATTATAAAATTAGATAAAGATTTTTAACTGATTTTGATGAATAAAGAATTCTGTAATTCTATTTCTTAATATTAATTCCATTTGTTATTTCAATATAATAATCTCGCGAGTGCGGGCTCGTGGATGCGCACTGCTCAGGAGTCCCATAATAGGACGAAACGGCCGTCCAGTGCTTCCAGGTTTTCCATGGTGGTCTAGCTTCAATTGACTCACGCTTTCAACTATGAATATAATAAGTGATTATTTGATTTTAGTACAATAATTTTTGTTAGTATAATCGTAATCTATTTTTAATCTGATACTTATTCAATGTATTTTTTTTTGTATTAAAGTAATATGAACTCTATTTAGCATGAAATGTAACATTCATTTTTACACTATTCCTGTTCATTCTCCATACATCTGATACCTGTTGAATAATCCATCAAATATGTGTACAAACCAATGTATAAATAAATTTATTTCTGATTAAGGATGAGGTGTTTTAGGAGGGTCAATAAATCATCGGTTTGAAAATATACTAAAGGTTGAACATTGAGTATTGGAAAGAATATTTACTCCTCTTATTATATTAGAAAATGTATCAAATTTCATTTTAACTTTTGACAATGATAATAGTAATAATAATGATTGTAAGAATTATTATGAATAATATGACGTGAACAAGTAGAAAGATGTAAATGCAAAGTCACTGACGTATGCTTACAATACAAATGCCTGATTCCATATAGGATTAGCATTCTTCTGTGCTGTGAATGTTCGTACAACTCGATTAACAAGTCGTATTTCACAGAAAACATTAGATTTTCCACTCCGATCTTTTGCTGGCAAATTAGACGCTCTATTTACTGTAGATAAGAAACAAAAAATAAATTTTAAATCCCTTAATCGTAAATACTATAAAGAATTAAATATTTTGGTATTGATTAACACCCTAGGATGTATATAACAAGAACATGGCATTGGTCCACAATGTCATTGACAATTTGGCTAAGCCATATTGGTAGGTGCAGGCTGCACGATATTAGTGACCAATGGCTAAATACTGTGAGCAACATGGCTCAGAATTATTCTCATTGACGTGGGTGCATTCACATTTTATATTTCCTCAGGCATTGGAAATTCAAAGTATATTATAATCTTGTGATTCCAGGAATCCATATTTATTTAAAATGACATGCGTTCTATACCTAATCTTTATTATTACTATTATTGATATTATTATTGTTACTAGGACTTGTCTTGACAATTTTATCTTGCCATGTCAATGTAGTATGGCAACTTGAGCCAATGCACATATGTGCTATGTTCTGCGTGATTAACTGATTAACTGGTAATGTGATTGAATGTGTAACTATAATTGTTATTTAGGTATACATAATTTAATAGCCTATTTAAATATTTCACTGTCAAAAAAATGAGAAGTTTTTCTTGTACTACTGTTTCAGTAGAGTCGATAGAAATCGTTTGTTTTTGAGATACGTAGTTATAGCTTAAACAATACTCATTTACACTGCTAGCCATGATCTATCTCTGCTTAAAACATCTGAATAAACATTAAGATATGAGAAGAATTGGACATCTGTTTTTTTAAAGTTATTCAAAACCATAGTCTCCAACGGGATTTAATCTGTGAATTTTCTCACTTTTTCAATGAATGTATTATACGTGATTTGGGCATTAAGAGTAAAACACCTTCTAGTTTAATGACTTGATCTGACTAGTTTTATATTGTAAACTTTCTTTTTATATTCTTCTTCAGTATAAATCTCAACTTATTAAAATTACTTTACTAAGACAATTGAAGGCTTTAAGTTCAGCCTTATTAAATAGGCTTTAAACTAAACTAATTAAATGTTTTATACTTTTATCAGTATCTAACAACCTGAATTCACGGAAATACTACTATTAGTATGGACTCTAGTTAACCTGAATGTCATGGATTCGAACCACGGTAGGGTCATAGATGTTCACTGTCGAGGAGTCCAGTACAAAGTATAAACAGCCGTCCAGGGATTTCTGGTTTTCAGTGGTTTTTTTAAATTAATGGCAGCCTGTGATGTAAACTGTAAAAGTATTACTGTTTTTAAAAGGGTTTTCTGTACTCATATGTTCTGTTCACAAGACTTCACTTTTAATTTTTTAACAAGCAATCTAAATCATTGTAGAATTATATGTTCAAAATGTCAATCTTTATGTGTGACGTCAACACAGTTATAGTGACTCAAATTCTTGATACTGAAAAGTTGATACTGTTGTACTATTACGGATGTTGTATTATAACAAAATGTATTACTTTACTTTATCATGGTTACAATAATTATCATAATACCATTCATTTAAAAAGTATAAAAGATCATACAATCATTAATTTCTAGAAATGAATAGTCGATTCAAGTAAAATAAACACTATAAGTATATAAAGATAATGGCTAGCAGTGCAATCAAGGACGCATGTTTCGTCCTATTTGGGACTCGTCAGCTGAGTGCACCTGCATCTGAGAGCTGATGTTCACATTTTATCAGTTCAAAAATTCATTTAAATTGTTATCTTCAACACTGGTTCTTCTGAAGTTTCAACCAGATTTGTTTGTGACCTCTAATCAGTTATAGGTCTATAGAGTAAGTGTATGAATAATAGGTAAATAGGTCAACAATACATTTACTCCAGTATCAATCTATGTTTTTTTAATTAGATGTGATATTAAAACGTAGCTTAGATTGTTCATAATGAAACTCCCAACTCACCATACATATATTACATATATTATTAACAAATAGAAGAAAGGGGGTCCCGACTAAATAATTTTACATCTCTTATTCAAATGATAGAACGATAAAACATTTGATGACCAGGTCGAAATTAAAGTCCATTTAACATGTATGTATCTATAGCTTGATTAACAACCATTGTAACAACGTTTTACTTAATGTCCAAATATCTGCATTATAGGACTTGTTTAACTCGGTTAAACGTCAGTTTATGTTTAGAATGTAATTAACTGTAGATCACTTTACTGGAGTTTGGCTAATGGAGGTTTCGTACTTTTTCTTTCTTCTAGATACGTCTTCTAGATTCGTTTTTCACTAAAAGATTCGCTGATAAAATACCTATCAATCACCCTGAACCTGACATCATACAACCTTATTTCAATATCGCTGTTTGGTAACACTGATAAAATCGTATTACATTAGTTAAAATGTTACAATGAATATTATTTGTACTTTTATATACATTACTTTTAAGCAATTACAATTACCACTTACCAACAACATGTAACCAGCCGACATCCGACCATTTTCGAAGTGCATTTCTGACTTTCTATAATGATGATTATCATGTATTTTGGAAAATAAGATTAATTGTATTAAGTTATGAAATACATATGACTACGTATATAACTTTGAAGAAAAACTGTGTTTAAGTAAACAGAATAAGAATTTATCATATTTGATGTTGACGGATAATTCTCATTTGAACATTAAAAACTGAAAACACAAAGTTCAGCGAAGGAATCTCTTTTCAACGAATTTATTATCAAGCTATACAATCGTATATATATGGAAAAAATGTTTTTGTTTAAGCACTAATTCCGTAAGGAAATGTGAACACGAATAACCAAGATGATGTAATAGAAAGATTATCATACTAGATTGCGTAATAAGAGCGATAACAACAGATTTTGTGAATATAATAAGATAATTAAAATGAATAAAATGTGATAGGTCCTGGGTTCGAATCTCGCGAGTGCGGGATCGTGGATGCGCATTGCTGAGGAGTCCCATAATAGGACGAAACAGCCGTCCAGTGCTTCCAGGTTTCCCATGGTGGTCTAGCTTCAATTGACTCATGATTTCAACTATGAAAGTGTTTTTGTTACAGTCATTAATAGTCATAGAGGTGGAAAAATAAGTAAGGTGATATGATAAGCATTCATGAACAAAGTAATGAGAATATAAGAAATAAGTAATGGGGAATGCAGCAATAATAATAACAATGACAATAATAATAATGATAATAATATCAATATAATAATAATATTAAATAAGGCCACGGTAATGATAATAATGAGACGTATTTCTTTTGTACGCTCATGGATGGTAAGAGCTTCGGCTATTTTTAAGAGTTGGATAGGTAGAAATCTAGGTAGATTTGAACGAATCATATAAACAACCTTAAAATCAAACTGTGAATCTGTAGAATGATTACAGTCGATTAAGTGTTCAAGTACAGAACTCCTAACTGCTTTCTTTTCACCCTTGTAGAACCAAACTGGGATATGTTCTCGTATCCGAGTTGAAAGCAAGCGCTGGCTACAGCCGATGTAACTTGCTCCACAAGACCAGGTGGACTGGTAGATGCACATGGAGGCGACCAGACTCGGAAGCTTATCTTTTATGGATACAGAAAATAAGCTCCTACTAGTGAAGGTTATTCGCAATTTAGCCACATTAAATGTTCTTTTAATCGTTGTTCTTAGATGAATTTTGATTAGAACTGATGTTCGATTACCTATAAATTCCGGAATTATATAAAGGTTTTTCTTTGGGACGAAACAACTAGGTTTAATTTCGAAACTACTTCTATTCATATTCTTCTCTATGAAACGGTCTGGATAGCCATTTTTCGTCAAGGTTTTCTTGAAGAATGCGAGTTCTTCGTTAATGCATTCCGTACTGAATGTCTGATGTATTCGATATCTTAAAGAATGAATGAGGTTTCTCTTTCTACTTAACGGAACCCAGCTATAGAAGTTGGTTAGCTGGCCATTCCACGTTTGTTTTTTAAAGATGGATCTTTTTAACAAACCATTACCATTACTTATTACTCATCGAGAAAAGTGATTGATTGGTCTCGCTCCCTTTCAAAGGTGAAGTCTACGAAAGGGCGGCATGAGTTGAAGGTGTGTAAGATATCCTCTGAAACAATATTATAGTCACAAACGACAAATGTGTCGTCCATGTATTCTGAGTACAGGTGAAATCGATTGATCATTGAACTGAGTTGGTCGTTTTCTAGTTTTTCCATGAAACAGTTTGCTAGAATTAGACCTAATAGAGACCCCAATGTGATCCCATCTCTTTGTCTACATATTTCATTGTTGAAACTTAACTGGACATTAAAGGTACTATTTATAACTTTCTTCTTATTTAGAGTTAACGTATCTGGAAAATTTTGTCCAAGATTTAAGATAGTTAAGTAATGTCTTGAAGCCTCTAGGTTAGCCATATATGTGTAATCGAGCTAAGGTGAGTAGATGGATTGTTGACCTACTCGAAGTCAATCCTCATGTATCCCTGTCTAAGTTGTTTGTAGATCTATTATGTACATATAAATTATGAGTCCTTTGATCCAGATTTTTCCAATACAATTTCCTACGTCACCGTTATATTCCCTCTTTCTGGTCTGCTACAATTGGTCAATAATTAGTAGTGCTCACGTTAACTGAAATGGACTCCATATTACAACATAAACAGGGAATAATTAACATTATATTCACATTATTTAAACTGTTGAATAAGAGTAACTTGCATAATATTCAGCTACTTGATCTAATGTGGTTTTCGAGACAGATTCTTTTGATAAATCACCATAAATTGAATCAGTTTCTAATTTCAACTGATCTGATGAAAATGTTCTAGGAATAGTGGAATTGGAAATTGGAAATAATCCGGTCATTGTAGCTAAAATATGTATTTCACCATGACCTCGACCATCCTGATTATTCAATTTGAAACATGTTGTCCAATCTAGGACAATTTTTGAAAAATCTAAATAAAATCTGAATTCACATTTAAAAAAGTGAAATGACAATAATTGAAGAAAAATAAAATGTTCGGTGTAGTTAAATAGATAAACTCGATTAATTTTAAGTACGAAATGAAGTTAGTTGTAAAAATGAATTATAAGATTTCATTTTAGTATTCTAAGGGTTAGAGGCTTATCATGATACTTCAAGGTCCCAAGTCTAATCTTCGCTGGTATAATAGGTGCGCAGTGCCGAAGCATCCAATACCAAGATTGTCTACTGCTGTCTGATGCTTTTCTAATTCTCAATAGCACCTCAACCTATATCAATCCGTAAAGGATATCAATTACGAATCACTTTGATAAATTTAAACTCGTTAAATTGGACATTTTACCTATGGAATTTCCATCGTTATACTACAAAGAATGATTTCCAAAGAATTCGAATTTAAAATTATGGAAAATTTAGCATAAATAACTTCGAATCCGACTATTTATTCCCGATATTTATTTTATCACTATTTAGGAATGTGTTTTAATTCATTTTCCATGACTGAACACCTGATCTTGCATCAACCCGTAATTTTCTCTTATTGTGTAACTGTGGTGTATGCTACCTATGTATGTCGGCATAAATACTGTATAACACCGATCAGAAGTAGAATGTCTGTCAAAAAAAGTTTGAGAAGAATGAACTGAAGAAAACAGAAAATGAAACATAAAGAAATTTGGAACTGAAAGAATCATGAGGGATGTGAAGGACATTGCATGGAAGATTCGCAAATGAAGTACCTAATGTATGTTTTTCACATTTTATCGAAAAACTCTGTAATTTTGTACTAACCTATGAATTGGTTTTACCACCTGACTTCTCGTTCATTACATAACAAATTTTCGTTATAGCCAACTGTGTAAGTTTGTTGTCACCTAGTTTATTTGTTTGAGTGTCAGAATTTTAAAATCTTCCTCGTATTCGTGATGTTTTCTAATTATAAAGCCATCACCATTTTTATGGTTTAATTTAACGGTCAGTTAGTGTTTGTGTAGACAATAACGAAGACAAAAACATTTATTCCAATGAAACATTATAAACGACATAGACAAATTACTTTATAGTTAGTTCAGTGAAAAATTAAGAAATGTTTTTAATTGAAAAAACAACTTTCATCATGGATTGACATCAGCTGTTCTTAGTCTTTTAATAGCTCTTCAGTGATAAAAACTACCTTGATAATTAGATTTCAGTTGGTTAATCGTCAATTCAATTGTAGATTTATAAGGCCTTTCTCTAACTCCCATGATTGATTTTCGTAATCATCATAACTACCATATCAGATCATTTGAACAGATTGTTAGTATTACTGCGCATATCTTATCTGGTGACTAGGTTTTTTGACAAAAAGCTGATGCTGTTTATGATGTCTAATGTAATATTTTAATTCGCAATAATAAATCACTTATTTCAGAAAATATAACAGTAATACAAACCATTTGTGTGATCCACGATCATCATCCGAGCATCATAATTAACTATAAAAGTTTTCTAATGTATATGAATATTGTTAGACGTAACCACACTAAGCTTTGTATGTATCTATCTAAATAAACGAGGCAAGTAACTCTAATCAAATCTTTTCTAGTATAACTTACCGACCGAGTAGATTGGTATTTTGATGTGAATCATCAAATACTTCACATTGAAGTACTGTTCTCATTCCAGGACGAACACGAAATTCAAATCGTTCATTCCATAATGGATTTCTTGTATGCATTGCAACCTTGTCGGTATAAATATGACGCATGAAAAGTATACAAGTTATACAGATATATAATTCGGCATATTTTTATGTTAGAAAGTTAGAGACAATAAAAAATTGCAACGGTTCAAGTATTACGGACACACTGTGATTTTTAGTTACATCGACTAATGATCATTCTACAACTCGATCAGTAGAATTTGATTAGCACTAAGATCTGCTTAATACGAAAGTAATTACTACTAGTATGTGATAAGTGAATGCAAATATTTCACATTTATTGGAGGTCATTAATGATCCTAACAGTTGAGTGTTAACATTTCTGAATGTCATTTGATTATATGAATTCAAATTCAACACCATTTAAAATATCAGAAACACCAGGGTTATCAATAGTAACAATAATAAATCTCAGGTCCATATTATGTCCTTAAACCAGCAAACATTTTAAAAAAGAAACAAATGACTGATATAATAAAATAGATAAAAATATATATTCTGGTAATCTGAGCCACTTAATATACCTGAACGATTAAGTACTATTATCTAAAGATATCAAGTGAAAACTATGTCCAGGAATGAATAACTGTTTACTAATCAAATGCTCAAAACTAAAAAACGCATATCATCAATTTGTTTAGATGTAACTTTTCACAATAATGAAAACCATCAAAATAATTAATTTCTAGGTTCAAAATTGTAACTGATAATTAAATATGAAACTTTTTTTACTCCTCCTAATTGAAACTTAAACATTTTTTATCTTGTAAAATGTATTCTCATCATTTGATAGGAATTATTCAAATTCAATCAATATGACAGCTTAGTGAGAATATAGAAATATTCATTAGGTGTAAACAACAAAGAAAAAGTATATTTTTCAAGTGTTTTGATTGGTTTAATTCACCATTTTGAATAGTTCCGATCACTTTTCGAACTAAAAATCCCTTCAAAGTATTCAGAAGTATGACCAGTATATATCTTTGCTCAAACTAGCTTATAAAACGTGTATTTCTATTTTTCACCACATTTAAAATGGTATTACAAATAACAACATTTCTTCCCTAAAACTAATAGGTTATCTAAAGTAAAACTCTAAAATTCCCAAAATTTACATTTTCTGGCATATTTTTCCATTTTGAATGATTCAATACCTACAAATTACTAACCAAGATATACATATATATATATATATATATGTTTTATTTACTAGTTGTTTACTTGTTTCTTCCCATTGTTATATAGGACTGCAATTGATCAGTCTTTTATTGGCATATGTGGCTATCAGGACTCAGTAGCTGAGTGGATAACGCCATGGCGTTTGAAGCGAAAGGTTCTGGTTTCGAGTCCCAGAGTGAACATCAACTCTGAGATGTATGGGTATCCAGCTGACGAGTCCCAGATAGGACGAAATGCGCGTCCTGGATTTCACTGCTAACCACTATCCATCTTTGCTTATATAAGTTTTAGTTAAATAATTTTGTTGAATTTTTTTACTCTTACTTGTAATTAATCATCATTAATTACCGCTTTATTTTATCTTCCATAACCCTACTTTGTAGGACTACTAGATTATTGGGCTCATTATCATGAACTTGCCTTACGGCAATAATATTAATGACACCAGGTACAAGATAATTTATACCCCTAATACCGGTCAGAATACTTATGATAATATGAATCAGTAACTTGATCACAAGTCACAAACAGGAAATCATATCTAAGTCATTTTGAATACAAAACTGAATAACAAGTATGTAATAAGTTGACTGTAGTTTATGAACCTTAAGTCATCTATGAGCATTTAATAAGTAACATGAAAACTTAAAATTAGGTCACCATAAAAACACCGTAAATTAAAAGTATGTGATTAATACACAGTGAATTTTCCATTAATTCACTCATATCTAACAGGTATAAAGCTACAGGCAATTAAAATAAAAGTCAACCACGTAACCTTGTATTCAAGCTGTGCTAGTTATGTAAGGATTAAAATTTGTACTGGTTGATGCAGAGAATATAGAACATGAAACAACGAGGTAGACGAGAATTTCCAATGGTATTATGAAAATGAAAATGAAGTTAAGACAAAGATACTCTCATTAGTTATATTTTTTTCATAAATAAGGGGGCATTATTGAAAAAATAAAGCTAAAGTGATATTATTTCAGTAAGATAATGTGTTTATCTACTAAGGTGACGTATGATATACATATATGACTATTCTTCCAAGTGTGAGTCGAAGACATCAAAATTCAATAGCCTTCTTGCCCTACTTTGAAGAACTGTTCTGAGTTATACTATATTTGTATGTTATTTTCCGTTGTAGTGCATTTTATTGATTTTGATGCTGTACAAATTACAGTGACGTTTTCTTCAAACATGGAAAAATATCAGTTTATTTATTAAATAATAAAATATATGATAAAAAGTATTTTCTTTGACATGGCTAAGACAAGATATATCATTACAGTTCAACATATTATTTTGAGAAGTGATTCTGTTAAATGTTACATTTTATTGATGACAATCAGTCCTGAGAATATTTAAATCCATAAAGTATGATTTATTCAACCTACTTTACTTTGATGTGTTTTGGTTCCAACAGTTAAAAATGCTGTTGGACAAGGTAAATTGTTTTTTTCTTCATCTAAACCATTTAGTGTATGATCTGAATGGCTTCTTGTTGATCGACCACGTAGTGTCTTAGAACTATCGGCTTCACTGACAGGAACAACGTTCTTTAGTTTAGTTCGAACTTTTAAATTTTTTGCACCGACCAACGTAATTATTAAACGGGATTGTTGAAACAAACTCTCCATTTGTATTTCATTATTCAATGTATATAGTTTATCAATACTTTCATTTGTATCACCTTGACATTTGCTAGTGTACAACTCTAGGCTAGTACCTTCGTAAAAATTATACGGCCATATAGGCTGAGGTAGTAAAGATTGGTTTCGTTCCGTCCAGTTGTCTTCAATACGATTTTGTAACGATTTGTCTCCTTGTTTTGATAAATTTGGTTGCCCATCATCATTTTGTAAATCTTCTGTAGAATCCACGATTTCTGTTGAATCATGGATTGATTGATTAGATTGTGGATTAGATTGCTGAGAACTTGTCTGTAAGTTTAAATCGAAACCAAATATGTGTACAAAGCTCTTCGAAAGTGGTATAAAAACCATGAAAATAACCATAAGAAACCCAAAAAAGTAGTATCAGTTTTTCTTTGACATACTTTGTAGTGGAGAACCTTCAATGAAGTAAAGAATGAAATGAGCACCAATTATGAGCATTTCTCTACTAAACTTGTCTTCATAATTTTATTTTGTTGGAACTACTTGCTAGTAATCAAGTGGTTTGAAGCCGATATATAATTAACTGAAATTTATAATTATTGATTATTTTGTTGTTTAGTGATTAGAGGAGATCTATTAACAGTCTTCATTTATCTAGGTTTCGCTTATTTGTGTTTATTTGTTGAATACTACGGGAACACATACTTTACATGTAGCCAAAAACACAATCAATATGGAAGAAAGAAGTATGACCAATAGTCTATGTGAATAGTTTCTTATCTAATCCAGTGCAACATAAATACACTAACCAATCACATTAGAACAATCAATGTCATTCACCTCCATAATATTTATTAATGATGTTATTTCAATAAATAATATTTCACCATAGCCATTAATCTATTTGACTATACATTACAGAGTTCGAGCTCATAGTTCATTTCAAAGTATAACATTTTTCCAACTAGACAACAGATTTATAGGAAAGAAAAACTCAAAATATCAACTACTACATTGTATATTCAAAAGATGGTCAATGCTGAAAATGATTACTTGAGATCATAGAATTCCAATAAAACTCAAATATATAGATATGATGACTATTTAGCCTAATTTTTTTCTCGAGAATTGATTGGAATGAATGAAATATCCTCTGAATTGAAAAATAATGGTTTTTTAAAGTATTATCACTTACGGAAATTACTAAACGTAATTGTTCTTCTATTTTCCAACCCCATTGATTTATCCTATACTAAAAATTGATATATATATATATTTTTTTTTAAAAATTAAGTTTTCTATTTTACGTAGAAATTATTCAAAGATTGATAACTTTGAAATCTCCTTTATTTTCATAATACTCTATTCGAAAATTTTTGAATATCTTAAACTAAAGATAAATATATAAGAACTTTCGTCTAAATTAGAGCGAATAGTTTCACAGTATTTGAGTTGATGTATGACATTAAATAGGAAGAATATATTTGTAAAATCTCAGCGAATGAAAAAGCTTGGACCAGATTGCCAGGCGAAACGTTGGATGTACTAGAAATTCATTAACTGAGATTTTACAAATATATTATTCCTAATTAATGTCTAAAGATAAATATATTTAAATTTTCCACACTTTTTTGTGAAATGAAATATACTACTGAACAAAATAAGTAGTTTTATTCAAATTTATACTAAATACAAGTCGATTTTATGAAACTAATTGTAACAATATAAACAATGATTCTCTCATGTTATATAGAGCTATGCTTAAATAATTAAGGTTTTGCAAAAATTGATTTCAAGTATTTATAATTAAAAAAACAACATTAACCTATGATATTCATTTAAATATGGTTTAATAATTTCAAACAATATCACTTGGATTCTGTTGACAACAATGATCAATTACTGTTTACAATATTTTATTTATATTAGAATAAAAATATCTTAATGTTGGATCTATTTCAAGAAGTGATTAAAAATACTGTTATTACATATAATTCAATAGGACAGGAAATGGGTACAATGTAAATCAACATTTTAGACCATTGATTAATTAGGTAGAAAACAATTTTTTCACTGTATATATTGATTGATATTAGGTTTTTTCTAATTAAAATAACAATTTATTTTATCACTATAATTTTTTATTACTTCAAACTATGTGTAAATAGTGACATTTTTTTCTTAAATATTTATTTATCAAAGTGATGAACTGGACTTTACATTCTAATATTTTGTAATTCAGTGAAATATTCAGCTGGAAAGGGTAACAGTCATATATATATTCCTTTATAGAATTATTATAAATCTACTCAATTGTATTAGTGATAGAATTCAAAGTTTTCTTGAAAAGAAACAAAACAACCACGTCACTCAGTCATTAGTAATATAATTTGGATTTTTTTAAATATTCTTAGTGATAATAATAATAAACTTACAACTGAATTATTAATAATTCCTGAACGTACAATTGGTACGCCAATATTTTCTGCTACAGAATAATTATCAGATTGAATGAGCTGTAAGATTAAATCAAACAAAAATTTAATAATAAAAATAATTCAAACATTGAAATTCAATAAAATTTGTGTGAAATTATCAGGAGTCCAGAATTAAAATCATTTAATTGATGATCAATATGCAGTGAACAAAACACAACTGGTCGGAGACAATCGAATGTATTTAAGCAAAAATTACAGACTATCTCAGTAAATTCTGATAACCAAACAATGAACAGTCAATTTGCAAATTAACAACCAATTGTTTCAATCTTCTCTGTTTCTTCTCTAATTTCATTGCTCATGCATTTTCCAAACGATTGCGCTTCGTTTCAGCTCTTTGCTCATCGGTCTTCTGCCGAAATACATTTTATGTCTGACCCACACCATATACTACTTATATGGATATAAGTAGACCACACCACAAATATTCTTCAGGAACGGAGTATTTTCAATCTTGAAGGAATTATTTTAGTAAATTATCAAGGTCATACCATCCATTGGGTTGGTTATAGATGTTATGACTAAGCCTGACGACTTATATACCTTCATGGTAATCTAACAATATGATCGATATATTTTGACAGACCCCAGTAAGATACAAAGCATAAGATTTAATAATATCCAGTAACCGAATGATTAGTATGAATATAACATATGTAATGCAAAATTATATATGATATAATCAATGAAAAAATATTTTATTTAACATCGTTTCATCCTGGTAACAAAACTAAGTGTCCGAAATTAATGTGTCTGAAGAAAGTAGGCAGTGAATGGTCAGCGAGGAGAGATAGACTCATCAGGATACAATAAACACAAAAGAGACTATTTATCATGTATAAATTCAATCTATTTTGATCATCTTCTAGTATATTCTTAATTTGTGGAATGTCATTTATTGACTAAAAACTGGACCAGCCAACATATTCCCGTTTGAGCCTGATGAAAACACAGGATATCTAGGACTCCTCTATACTAATAAGTTGCTTAATCAGAAAACTGGTTCATTATTTAATCAACTTTAGATAAAATAATTTCTACCAGCCTCGAATATTAATAGTAATATTATGGAATAACAATAACAGTATTTTGTGTTTTTTTTACACAATGAGATATACATTAAAAAAATAAATCGAACAATATTTACCGTTGATGAATTTGTGCCAGGTAGTTGTGATGAGAATTCCGTAGCAAATACACGTGATTTTTCTTCTTTCATTTTCTTTTTCAACTTTTTACACTCTGAATTATCAATAAATGTTTCACTAATTTCACTTAATGTTACATAGAATTTGATTTCACCTGAATTAACAGTTTTCATTAGATCATTTTCTAATTTTGATATAAATTCATATTCTCTATTGAAAATATTAAAATAATAAATGAATGATGAAAGTTGGATTTTTGTCATTTATTGATATTAGATGTGAACACAATAGTTATCAGAAATGTCTAACTAATCAAATGACTTAGTAACTAAAATTGCATTTGTTGATTACATAAGTTTAATTGTATATCCTACCTATTTAAACATTAAGTTATTGATTAATTAATATCTAGTACCAGTCAGATCAATTTATTTATACTTAATTATTGATCAACATAAATGAAACATTGAAAACACAATATATTGAGATATTGTTTCGGATTTATTGTTGGTGATTAATAATGTTTCATCTGTCGTCTCTGCCTTTTTTCATAGTTGTTTAGTGTTAACAAGTAAGCAAAGATCATTTTAATTATGAGGTAATGTCAGATGAAGTATTATTAAAAGCACTTGTTAACCGAGCAGAGTTTTCTTTATACCACACGAGTTTTTGGTAGCACTCAACTTCAACTACTGATGTAAAGTCAAATATAGAAATTTTAAGTCACTCGGGATACAATATTTATCGTTTTGATTGGATTCTAAATTTCTTCATTTGTTGAAGCTTCTAGACTAAAATTATCTTGGAGTAATAAAATCATTTCCATTTCTAAAATATTAATTTTATTCCTAAAATTAGGTCGCCTCTCTTACTATATCATAACTACGTATCACCAACACTTTCTTTTAATAACTTATTTTAGAGATCGTGCAGACAATGAACTTGTCTGAACTATAACATTATATACATCATGGTGACTATTACAATGCTTCCATGGGAAACTGTTTTCTCCATTTATAGCTGTCTGAAATTTATTCTTCTTTCCATTGACTACTCCTAATAGTTAAGTTACCTAATAAAAGTCAGTAGTTTGAATAACTTTAGCAAATATGATGGTGTATCTCAAATTCTAACGAATAAACTTATTTGGAATCATGAACCACCACTGAAAACTTTAAAGTACTCGGAGGCCATTTCATCTTAGTGCGGCTTTTTAAGCAGTGACCATCCATGATCCCACACACACGGATTGAACCTAAGTCCTCTGGTTTCACGCGCAAACGCTTAACCTCTAGATCACCGAGCCGGTATTCGACGGTATTTTAATATCTAACTTCAATCAATCTATAAAATTTCACCACTATATTTCATTGTCTTTGATGAGTAACTGCCTCACAGCCGACATGTATTAGATCCATTAGTCACGGCTTTTCACCAGAGCTCCGGAAATTTTCACTTGAAGCTAGTCACTGGTGACCAAATAATAATTACTCCGCACACGAGGTCGTGGATGTACACTGCCGAGAAGTCCCATAATATGACGAAAGGCTGTCCAGTACTTTCGGGTCTTCACTGGTGGTTTGAATTAAATTGACTAATAATTTCAATGAAATTCAATAATTTTCACAACCCCTAACTGACAATAAGCCTTTTATTTTATCCGATTATATTCATACTCCGATGTTCTGATTCCTTCTACACTTTCTTTTCTCATCGAGTGGTTTTTACCGTGTGTGTTACTCTTCAAATTTAGTTTGCAGCGTTTGGTTATTTCCAACATATGACATTTAATCTGTTTTCCTGTTTGCACAACGTGTTGTAGTTTCATTCCTATTCACCTATTTAAATTGTTCATTATATTTCGGTCTCTATGCCTAACAGAGTAAATCACATCTGAGTATTCCGAGGTTTTAAGATTTTACGATATTTTTATGGTAGTTTCGGCTATAATTCCTGAATTTTTTGCACAACCTGACCGCGGAATTACTATCCTTGATATGATCCTATGCCGCACATCTAATTTCCTTTTAAAAAAACGTGATTTTGGCAGAGTTTGGTTCTCTGAGCTTGATTGTTTGGTCTATCCATCTCAGAGAATAAAACCCCAAACAAATCATCTACCTGGTCTACAAATTTTCTCCACCATCTCAAAAAACCATGATCTTAACAATTACATTTTAAAAAGAACTAAATTCGAAAATTTTTAAGTTGAAATTATTTGCTTATGTAAATTTATTTTCTCTGAAACGTATAAATGAATAAGTACATTCTTTGTCGACAATTCTATGGTTAACTTGATATTGGTTTCGTAACTCCGCCTGTAGCTCCTCCGGGGGCTACTGCCGGTCCCAAGCCCGAATAAAGAAGGAGGATTGGGCATGGGGTAAGCGACCCCATCCCGTACAAAACCAATTCGCTAAAAATACGCTAAGCAGAAAAATCAGTATCACTACCTGGAAAATAACAGAACATCACACCAAGTTATCATTTTTGACATAGAAATCTCAACACTGTAAATCCTTTAAGTTTAATAGTTTAAACAAAACCTTGAAGTCCAAAATAAATACATTATCACCTAAACTTTAAGTGTGTATCCTTCCTCACTTTTATATCCATTGACATTGTTAAATTCTTGGAAGTTCCATTGAAGTTTGATGTCACTTTAAAACTCAGCATAATTTCAATGATTGTATCAACACACTAAATAAGGGGTAACATACAATTTTAATCTTGTGGAATTGAAGATTATAAACTTTCATGAATAATGTATTCTGTATCTCATAGGAAAAGCAACCTCAACACTTTGTCAACATGATTACAATCATTAATTCGACTGTATGAGCAAGATAAAGATATAATAAGTTCACAAAAAATTCTTTTTTTTAAACATATCAATATACACCTACTTGTCTAAATCTAACTCTACTAGGCCAAATTGTGTTCGACCAATGTATGAATCTTTTTTAAATGGATCACGATGATAGACTTTCAACTACAAAGTAAAATAATGTAGAAAGGCGTTTGTATAAAGAAACAATAATATTATTCATCTTATGCTGACTCGTGACCTACCCCTAGAGAAGAATTATTGGTTTGTTTTAGAGAGACCGGCTGTGACTAATGGAATTCAATCATGATTAAACATTACACAGGTGGATAATGACGATGATGCAATATCATGATACAAATGAAGTGGGAAATACTGGTTATTAGATATTAAATGAGTAGTCTAAAGGTAATGTGCTTATAGTGTTGAGTTAGGATCTGACTCCAATTAGATTATATGAATGGTTGGTTGTCAAAATATACATCCTGTCTATCCTCGTATGTGATACATGACTTAATCCGCATTGATGAATAACGGAGTTAAATAAGTCAAATAGGAGAATGGATCTAGAATACATATATATTTTGTACACTCATTGATGTGGACAGGGAATCAGAGGAATGAAGCGAATAGGAGCGAGCGAGGAAGAAACGACACACATTGGAGATGGCGGATGAGTCAACTCGCTTTTACCAAGCGTTAATCAATATTCATAGTCAGATAAAAATGAATTACAGACATGTGATGAATAAGATAAAAAGTGTACACACATACACTCATCTAAAAAATAGTCAGGGTTAATAGGTGAGTTATTAACAAGGTCAAACGTGACTCGAGATGGATAGGCAAATTGTCTTGTCCAGAAGCTAGAATAAAGTATATGGGCTTAACATATCAACCGACACTACAATAGTAAAGAATGAGAATCCTTGGTCCTGTCTCTGTTATTGTGGTGATGACGTGGTGTTGGAGGGTTTTAAACTGCACAAAACAGCCGTCCAGTGGACCATAGTTTTTAATTGTTACACAACTAAAGCCAGTTCGTGTTGTTAACTACTTTTTTAAAAAGCACCTGACATCATATAAAATGTTTTGTATCTTAAACAAGGAAAACACATTATGTGATTAACTTCATGATATTTTATTCTTTAAATAAACAATCTTGTGTATTAGGATGCATGTTCAGTTCATGTTTCAATGAACAAATAGATCGCCAACTTCGAATCAAACATCTAAACGCCTTGGTAGAACCAAATTTTATGAATACATTTTCTGATCAACTATCATTGATAGTCTTTACATGAAACTTGACAAATTGATTGGACTAAGAAAGATAACAGTCAACTTTCTTCAGAATCGTTTACATGGAATAAATAGAAGACTTAAAAAATAAACTCGAAATAAGTTATTTTCCTCGCTTATATATATTTTAATAGTTGGCTAACATTAGTGGTCACTCCATCTGAAGCCCTTCTGAAATGACTGTCATTTCCGAGTCCGGGTAAACAAAGGAGGATTGGGAGCATAGGTGTGATGACTAGATATCATCCTTCGAATATTAAGTCCTGGTAGCTCTTTTACTTCTAATTCTTTAATTTCTGTTCATTCTTCCCTTTTAAATCATATTCTTTATGCTTAGTTTTCTATTATCATTTATAAGTAAACATAAGTAAACAAACGTTTCCTTTTTACAATATCATTAAAATATTCAATACATACAAATAAAGATGGATAGTGGCTAGCAGTGGGATTCAGTACGGGCGCTTCGCACTATTTGGGGATCGTCAGCTGGATATACCTGCATCTCAGAGTTGATATTCACTCTGGGACTCGAACCCAGTACCGTGCGAAGATACAAGTAAACAACACCAAGTGAGTCAATACATACATTCTATCATGGTCATTATATTTCCTGGGAATATTATCAATTATACATGAGGGCGATTTGAAAATATGGTTAATAGTCATAGGCAGTCATCAAACCTAAACTAAATATTACTATTGTTCTAGACTATTGTGTATTGTAGACATTTTAAATATACATTTATTATAATTTCTCCACATGAAACAATGTAAATCACAATATATATAAACTTTTATTTTTACAATAATTAAAAAACAAATATACATCTATATTAGTCAGTTTTTCTTAAGTAGGTCATCTATTCTAAACAAACTATAAGTGCAACTCCATCTGGAATCCTTCTACAGTTACTGCTGATACCAAGTCCGGGTAAAGAAGGACGGTTGGGCATTGAGTTAATAAACCAAATCCGTGAGAAAGAACCTTACTAAAAACACTAACCAGGAATGAATAGTTGGACCATTTAAACTCTTTCCTGAGATTTGAAGGGTTTACCTATACAAGAGTTATAATACTATGTGGTGAAGGCTGGGTTTCTTAGAAAGTCATTACGCCAATGCTACTTCTGACAGCCAGAACAGCAACTTATATAGGTTCTTGGATCTGCTGCACAATGTGAAAGACTAGAATGACCATTCAGGTAACAACAGAAATGAAATGTATAACCTGTCTCTGTTTAAAATAAGCGAATCCCATTAGACACAGGCTGGACAGAAAAGACTAATTTTGTGAGAGGTGTTGTTGTATCCTGATCGCGAATAAGAAAATGCTTCACACTCATAAGTAGATATCTGAGGCTCTACGACGAAGTTCGTCAAACTTTAGGTTTGTTTTAAACACTTACTGCTGACTATTTTGAAAATAGCTGCACCATATTTGGATGAAATTAGATGCACAATGTAAAGAGTCAACGTTGGTTTTCTGTAAAAATTATCCGAAAACTAAGAAAAACGTTAAACATATATTGACAAATCAGCATTCTTTGGAAACTCTCAAGAAAAATAGTACTCTACTTGGACAATTATCAAATGTACTACCAATTTTAGCTTCTAGGGTCATCAATTGACCTATAAGCTTATAAATACCCTTGTCTTTTCGCAGAATCTAAATTTTGAAGTAAATGTTCTTTTATGTATCTTTACTTCTTTTCTCCATTCAGTCTAAAAGTCGAAGTTATCTGGGGATTTATTAGCATCCAAGATGTCAATGTTTAAAAGGCTCAGTGTACAAAGTTTACCATACAAGAGTTAATGGGCTGTATTTTTAAGGAAGATGTTACGTTCTCTACTTGGTATACGATATACAACTAACGGCTCTCGAACATGTGAGACCCAACGGTCGCAAATGCGAAGGCAGATGATACACTGGAAGGGATTATTGGGAAAGAATCAATAACGTATAGAAAAACGTGGGTATTTTTAGTTATTAGTATTGGCTATAATATCATTATAGTTCAGACAATCCGCATGAAGGCAAGTTATGCTATCTCTTAATTGTAGTATGTCATGTTGGTATGCTAGAAGGCTCTATTAGACTCTGATTAGATGGGATCTCTTCAGTTCCTTTATAACTTCTGAGGGCTTTATTGTAATTCCCAAAGCCGTCCTATAAGTAAACAAGTTAATTCATCTCACTTGTGAAATCAGACTTAAGATACCAATCATTTTGGTTCATAATAAAATTTCTTCTTAATAAAACCTTAGAAATCTCTGAAACTGAACAGTACAACTGTAGAGTGATATCATTCTTGAATCCTTTGACTGAAAACTAAGAGAAAAAATATATTTCTTTATTCTGAGTTTATAAGATTAACTTTAATAATTACTAAACAGAAATAAAGAAAATCTGGGTAATTTAACAACGACTTACCTCTATTGGCATATCTAAGCTCCATAAACGAAACCAAAATTTTTCATCCCATACAGGATTACAACTATTTGGAATCATCCGACTTCTAGCTAACACACTTCCATTGTGCTTAATTTTTACGTATGGATTAGTTTTACCTGAGAAAATTAATGTACAGGAAAGTATGCGGTTGAATTATTTCAGAACATAAAGGCTATTGTTTATTAACATGGTTCACACAGGAGATATTGCATTGTTTACTTTCGGTCACTTTGTCTCATGACCTATATTGACTAGTAATTGCGTTCCAACGAATTAATTAAATGATTTGTTGATATTAGATGTACGAAACAATGTCTCAAAAGATAATCGACTGGACACACTTGATCACGATACTTGACCACGTGGTACGCACTACTTAATTACGACATATGATTAAGAACCAGATAGTCGGAACTGAATAACTGTTCACCGCCGCAGTGTAAAATCCAAAGTTCAGTACTATGAAATTAATAGTGGGAATGAGTTTATAATACTATCTAAGGCCTCATACATTTAACAAAGCACGATGTCTGTCTTTGCTAACAAACCAATCAAGACTATCACTGATACATCAAGCTTTTGAAGTAGTATATCAAACAAACGTATTTATTTTATTTCATTTCATTTCAACAACCGAATATTCTCCATGTTTGAATTTTATCTACTTAAAAAATTGATCAAGTCGAACTATAACTGGGCTTGAAAAACATTTTAAATGAGGTTGACGAATTCCTGAATTATTCATCCAATCAGAAGACAGAATTATGAATGAACGAATTAAGGTAATGCATCTTGGATTTTGCAGGAATGACACTCATCCATGTGATCACAATCATTGGTTCATTGTAGCTGATGTAAGTTCATGATTAAAGATCTAACCTTAATCCCATTCTTTATTTCATCATCGGTAGACGATATGCTGTTTGATATATGCTCCATGACCTTAAAGCTACTTTTACGTTCATCATTTACTCGCCCCTACGGTTCAACTTTACCAATAAATCTTCGATCATTAAAACTTTAGTTTTTCACTTAGTACAAATTTACATAATTCTGGCATTCTTATTTTATACAAAACAGAAAAGTATTGTTAGGATTTAACATTACTGAGATGAGAAAAATGAGTTCACTTGTGCTTCAGCAAGCGATTTTGAGCTATATCATCAAACATCATAGAATTTTTTATTCCAACTGCTTTTTTATATCCCAGCCTGGAAGCCTGCACACCGACATACAGTAGAGACCGTTGATAAAAAATTTGACAAACTGAAACCATTTTTTCCTTCTGATTGTTCCTAGCTCATTTCTTCAATGAGCCAGACACTTGAAGCGATACCTTTGAAGCACTGCAGTCTTAATGATTAGAAATGATTAACGCCTTTTGACTTTTATGAAAATAAATCCCATTTTTTTGACTAATTTTCCTTTTTTTTCATTATTTCAATCGCTTTTTATGGTACTACCTTCATATCGAATTGTTTATACTAATATTTACATACAATAGAAGTAATCCTGTGTCATTTTCTTTGTGCTGCTTTAAAAATAGACGGAATATGCTGATTGAGAAAAGAGAACTCTTCTCTGTACCAATCTTTCTTATTTTAAAAACATTAATGACTAATTACTAAAATTTGCTCATGTGAAAACATCCTTTGAATTAGACATTATTCAAGATATATTTTAACACTGGACACCGGAAGTCAACCAATGTCATGACATTCAGCCTCCTGAATCCCGACCGATGACTCTTATCAATCGTTTGCTGATCTAATTAACGTACCAATATGATGCACCACATTGTATTTAAATTAGTCTGAAATAGTTAGCTAAAGTACTTAGATCATATAAGTTTTGTATTTGTTTAAATTCATCGGTAGGAAGTTTCTAAGGCTTTAAGTTGAGCATGCTTTCTTTACTGAGCTGTATTTGAATTGTCTAAATGAAAAAATGTTATATTATAATTACCTTTGAAACTGTGAGTGCTTTTTCATGATGTTGTTTTGATGTTAAATTCGTGTCGTGAAATCTAGCTGGATAACCGTTTCTGATGATTATCTGTTGAAGTTGAATTAGTTCGACACATATTGTGTCATTATATTATATTCACCTATTCCTTGAGAACGGTTGATTAGTAAATACATGTCAGATGGATCCCTACAGAGATCTATACATAAGAACGTCGACCTGGGTTGGTCAGTATATGAATTTCCATACCTGGGTCCAATCGAGTAGAAAGCGAAACTTAATTCACTCCGTACCCTCTAGGATCATTTAGTCCAAGTTGTTTTATATATCATACAGCAGCAAATTCGTCTTATGTAGTTGCAAAATCACGCAATACTAAATCATTTTAAATTAAGTTAGCATCGTAAATTATAAGGAATAAATAAATGAGGGGTTCGCCTCATGTCCAAGTGCTTTCCACCAATCATTGGTTAAGTTACATTACTTTAAACTTAGTAAGTAGTACTGCGATCAAATAACATATATTTATTCAAGGAACATGAATTCTAACATCGGTTGTCAAGTCGGAACAAGAAAGAAGAACTGTTCATGATATGCATTTGCTCTTCTCAATAGTGAAACGGTTTTGATGTTCCCGACTACGATGTTAGGTTCTGACCAGAATAAAATCTTGAAATATAAAAGTACTTTACAAGTAAATGATGAAGTTAGTTAACTGACGAAATCTACTGTTGAGTGGTGTACAGACTAAGTTATCAACTGGAAAAAGTAAAATGTTTCGTCATTGAACGGGAAAATATCTAAACGCTGTAGGGTTGTACTATTAATTCGATGGTAATTTCGTCAGTAATATACAGTAATCTGAGTCAACTTGAATGAATAAAAACACTGTCATCAGTGGATGTTAGTTATGCTAGTTTCTAAAGAATAAGCTTTTTTATAGTGAGAAAGAGATCAAGATAAAAAGTGAATTGTTTCGCTTAAACATGTGGTTCTATATTTTTTTTATGTACCATTCATATGTATCTAGACAGATGTAGTTGTGGGTATTCACAATGATTGTGTACAATAAACACATGCTACCAGTGAATAATGGTATTATGAGGCTGATACTTTTTAAGTCACATATGTTCTTTAATCATATATATATATATATATATATATATATAATTAAAGCAAAGTTTACCTTTTGGGCTAGTGGGGACTAATTTGGCACCAAGTTTGATAAATAATGCAACTGACCAGAAATAACCATCTCTTGGAAAATGCTGCTGAAAACAATGAAATGTAATAAACGAAGAATTGCTTGAAAAAATTAAATAATTGGCCAGCGTGATACTGTAGTTATCTATGCCTAATCAGTATTTACTGATGTAAAAGCAGTTTTATTTTTAGAACAACATATATAAGCGAACAATATTGTTTTCGATTAGATCCTCATCAGGCTATACTCTAATATACAGTAATATTTATATGCATATACGAAAATATTAAACCAATCAAGGCAGTTTATGAGTCAATGATAACAGTGGAATAGATTACATAATCAAAATTAATAATAAGTAGAAAGTACAAATTGGTAATGTAATGACAGGTGTACTAGTTGTGATAAGAATAATAAAAGGCTTGAATCAATGTTACATAATAGGAAAATAGGTCAATGATTAGAAAATATAGACACTGAAATAACAATCATAGAAATTATAAGATTACGTAATAAGAAGTGTTCAGATAATTGGAAGCGAATATTAGAAAAATTATAAGTAAATAATTGATAGGGGGGGGGTGAAGAAAAATAAACGAAGAAAGAGTATGGAAAATAAGATTATTTATTAAGGCCAAGGGAGGGATAAGGGTGTTACAAATTTCTTATGAACACAAAGACTTGGGTTGTTGGATCGAATTCCTATAGCTTCTGCTATGTGTAGGAGACGAGATCGAACCCCATAAGGAAAAGTAGTAGGAATACGATAAATAACTTTAAAAGACTGGTTTCTGTCAACTTCATGACCGCTATCAATCAATTTGTACTTTCTACTTATTATTAATTTTGATTATGTAATCTATTCCACTGTTATCATTGACTCATAAACTGCCTTGATTGGTTTAATATTTTCGTATATGCATATAAATATTACTGCATATCAGAGTATAGCCTGATGAGGATCTAATCGAAAACAATATTGTTCGCTTATATATGTTGTTCTAAATCACAATATGGGAATTTTTCAAAGTTTTATTTTTCACAACCACCATGACGAATGTCTATGTGACAAGCTGAGGATTCAAGCATTATGCTCTCTAGTCAGCTTATAAGTATAGATTCATGCAAGTTAAATTTATAGTCTGGTAGCTGGATGAAATCAACAGCAAATAGCCTGTATAGCGGACTGTAATGCCAACTCGTTTGATATTATGATTCTGAAATGACGAGGAACATTTGAAATTCCGGTAGATGGTCCTTGTCAGTTTGTATTCTCTAAGCCAGGTGATTTCATTGAGAAGCTTTCATTATCGTTCTGGATAAATCTGTCAGAAATAACATCTTGTAGAAGTAGAGTGGACCTACATGATGCTGTCCAGAAGGGCAGTTTCTCAAAGAAATCACATATCTCAGTGAACACAATAACACTAATATATTTAATTATTCTTCTTGGCATAGGTGAATGTACTGCAATGACATTTGGGGGCAAATAAAATCACTTTGATTATTAATCTATGGTGAATCTGTATAGGTTTGAACTCAGTCTTTTCAGTGTATGGCCTTGATTACGAATAAATTCCACAAATCAATAGGGGAAAACTTTTCACTGTTTTGACTTCATAATATCGCAGACGGAAATATGTCATGGAAATAGGTATATTTTCCGAAACGAAAATCCTAAATCTGTTTTAATCATTACTACTATAAAGGATTGATGGGAACTTTTGGATTTTATCGTCGTTAATGTTTACTATTGAGAAGTTCCATACTGAAATAAAAAAATTTTCTTATTGCTTCCAGGTTCTCAAGGGTTGTCTAACTAAAATTATTTCATGATGTGATCTGTTTTAACCCGTTAATATTAAAGAAGCTTACTTTTACTCTCGTATTGCACCTTAATAATTCAGATTGTGATAACCATCTTTCCAAACTTGAATTAGTTGTTCGATCAATGGAATACTGATTTTGTGATGAAAAATCCTTCAATATACCGTCATCTTGATCATATTGATCTAAACTAAGTAAATCATCTATTGAACTGGTTACAGGAATGGAATTCAATTCATCACCATATGACATTGGAGGTGATGTATTTAAATGAGAAAAACTGCTGGATTGACATGTGAGACTACTCGGTGAAACTAGAATTTCTTCATTTGTTGCATTAATTTCGCTTTGATGGTGATTATTTTGATGTTGGTGTTGGCAATGCTTGCTTGTTGCTTCATTCTTGATCTGATTGTGATACACATTATCATCATCACCACAACTTTTAATTTCAGTACGACAATCAATGCTACTATTGTTACTGTTAGTAGTGACAGAACTAATGCTAAATTTAGTCATGATGGTTTCATCAAGTTGCCTTTCAATGCTCTGACTCTCAGTTCTTTCTTCATTCTGTGATACATTTATTTCATCAGACTTCTTTCTAATATCAGCTATGAAAGTTTTGAGAGAAAAGAAAACCAGTCAACAAGGTAATTTGTCAGCTGATCTATCAATCAGATTTTTTTAGTTTAAAAATTGGTAAATCACTGTCTGAAGTAGCCTGTTTGATACGTCCATTTTGTAATCAATTCTGTTAGCAATCATTCTCTTCCATATACTTCTTCAAAGTTCTAAAGAAAAGCCTATGAGATCTAGTTGGTAGAAATATCACACTCAGTGAACATTGTATTCAGATATTGTTCGATTTAATGATACACTAATACTTTCATCTCACTGGACCAAATGCTTGAAGGACTTAGAAAGAGAACGATCTCTTTAGATCGTTCATTTGGAAATCAGTAGTCAGCGTGTCCAACTTCAATCAATTTCTAATATGATACAGATGTCAACAGTTTACAAAATTGAAAGCATGACTACTAAGTTAAGAGGTTTAATATTGTGGTGTATTTTTTGTAGCTAAGTGATATGACAGGGTGAAAAAGAAAAATTACATTTTTAACTAATTGTGATTTTTGCTCAACATTACTTCTGTTTTTGATTCAATATGATATTTATTCAACGTTATATTTGTTTCATTTTCAATGTGCTATTTTATCAGTATAACACTGATTTACTTCAGATGTTTATTCATGATATGATGTTCTTGCATTAAATTAACCTGAACTATATTTAGCATGACATGAAGCGTGCAATTTCGCTGCAATTTCATAAATGTGACGTGTTACAAACTAACAATCAAATGTGTGTGCAAATCAATAGATAAATGAGCGTGTTTTCTATTAGAGTCGTCGTGTTTCTGAGGTTTATAAATCTTTATTTGTACCAGTCTTCCATGTTCTTCATTTACGTCGTGTCAATTGTAGTGGCTTCCCGTTTGAAGTATAAGGTAATAAATGACGGGTGCATAACGTTAAGCAGCTCAAAATGATTGACAGAAAACCTTGATACTAAATTTATAGCCAACTGATAACCATTACTTTGGTGTATCCTAAACCTATAGGAAACAAATGCTGGATACGAGATCGAAACCATAATGAGTTAATGCAACACTCAGAAGTGTTATCATCAAGGAATCATAACGAATAGTGATCCTTTACATTACTTGCATCATTCATCCTTGGTGACAAGTTGAATATTTCTAGATAGAATCTGAATTTTACAATGTAGTAAGATTCACATCTTTAAGTAAAATTATTTGTATAAACTTTAATCTCGTCACTAATGCTTTCGTAAATAGATGAAAATAATCGGAATCTTAGAACACATTAGTTTCAGTAGTTTTGTTTACAGAGAAACAAACGAGATCCAGCTCTAAAACATTCTGTCTAATGCTTCCTACTGACCAGAACATTGAATTACTCTAGGTTAGGGGTTGTATAGTAGACTAGATCTATAGAATTTGATCAAACTTAAGAACTACATCATGCTAATTTAACTCTACACCAAATACAGATAACAATCTCTCAGTAATTTGCGGGAGATTATTTTAGATCATTTGTGTAATATAAATAATTGACTAGCATGAATTAACATCTCATTAACTTACAAATATTACTTAACGTCTCGACCATTTTATCGAAATACATTGTCAACTTCTTATTCGTAACAATAATCTTTTTTGATTTAGATATCTAATACAAAAATATACAAATGAAATTATAAAAAAACTGTAATGAAATTATAATGAATTCAAAAAAGAGAAAGACAAAAAAACTTGTGACATACACAATCATACTTACTTACTTACTTACGCCTGTTACCCCTCGTCGAGGAGCATAGGCCGCTCACCAGCATTCTCCATCCAACTCTGTCCTGAGCCTTCCTTTCCAGTTCTTTCCAGTTACTATTCAGCCTTTTCATATCGGCTTCTATTTCCCGGCGTAGTGTGTTCTTTGGCCTTCCCCTTTTCCGCTTCCCTTCCGGATTCCAAGTTAGGGATTGAGTCGTGATGCACATTGGTGATTTTCTTAATGTATGTCCGATCCACTTCCAACGTCTTTTCCTAATTTCTTCTTCAGCTGGAAGCTGGTTTGTCCTCTCCCATAAAACGCTGTTGCTGATAGTATCCGGCCAGTGGATGTTGAGTATTTTGAGTAGACAACTGTTTATAAATACTTGTACCTTCCTGATGATGGCCGTAGTAGTTCTCCACGTTTCAGCTCCATACAGTAGGACTGTCTTGACGTTCGTATTGAAGATTCTGACCTTGAAATTAGTTGAGAGTTGTTTTGAGTTCCATATGTTCTTCAATTGTAGAAATGCTGCCCTTGCTTTGCTAATCCTTGCCTTTACGTCTGCATCAGATCCTCCTTGTTTATCAACGATGCTCCCCAGGTACTTGAATGTTTCCACCTCTTCCAGAGTTTCGCCGTCAAGTGTGATTGGGTTGGTGTTCTCCGTGTTGCATTTGAGAATCTTGCTTTTTCCTTTGTGAATGTTTAGACCTATCGATGCGGAGGCTGCTGCTACATTTGCTGTCTTCATTTGCATTTGGTCGTGTGTATGAGAGAGGAGGACTAGGTCATCTGCGAAGTCCAAATCATCTAATTGATTCTGAGCTGTCCATTGTATTCCGTATTTCCCGTCAGATGTCGAATTCTTCATAATCCAGTCAATCACTAGAAGGAAGAGGAATGGGGAGAGTAGACAGCCTTGTCTGACTCCGGTCCTTACTGGAAATGCACCTGTCAGCTGTCTTCCATGCACCACTTTGCACTGTAATCCATCGTATGAGTTTTGGATAATGTTGACGATCTTCTGAGGAACTCCATAGTGTCGAAGAAGTTTCCATAATGTTCTCCTGTCCACGCTGTCAAACGCCTTCTCGTAGTCAATAAAGTTGACGTATAGTGATGAGTTCCACTCAACTGATTGTTTAACGATGATCCGTAGTGTCGCAATCTGGTCTGTGCACGACCGATCCTTACGGAATCCAGCCTGATGATCCCTTAGTTCGGCGTCTACTGCGTCTTTCATCCGATTCAGCAGCACTCTGTTGAAAACTTTTCCTGGTACTGATAACAAACTGATACCTCTGTAGTTCTCGCATTTGCTCAGATCTCCTTTCTTTGGTATCTTGATGAGATATCCTTCTTTCCAGTCCATTGGCACTTGTTCCTCTTCCCAAATCTTTTTGAATAGAAGTGAAGCATGTTTGCAGTTATTTCAATGTCTGACTTCAGTGCTTCTGCTGGTATATTGTCAGGTCCTGCCGCCTTCCCACTTTTGATTTGTCTGATGGCCATCTTGACTTCTTCGATCGTTGGTGGAGTGACATCTATTAGAAGGTCTGTGTGGGCTGCTTCGATGTTCGGTGGATTCAATGGGGCTGGTCTATTCAGCAGTTCCTCGAAGTATTCTGCCCATCTTTTCTTCTGTTCTTGAATCTCAGTGATTGTCTTTCCTTCTTTGTCCTTGACTGGTCTCTCTGGTTTGCTATATCTCCCTGCCAATTTCTTCGTTGTATCATATAGTTGTTTCATATTCCCTTCTATTGCAGCTTTTTCCGCCGTCGTTGCTAGTTCTCCCATGTATTTCTGCTTGTCGGCTTTAATGCTTTTCTTCACTTGCTTGTTTGCTTCTGCGTAGTCTTCTTGTGCTTTGACTTTCTCTGCTCGTGTTCGGCTGTTGTTAATTGCTAGTCTCTTGTTCTTCCTTTCTTGAATTTTGTCCAGGGTTCCCAGAGAGATCCATTCCTTGTGATGATGCTTCTTAGGACCAAGAACCTCCTGACACGTTGAAGTTAGTGCTTCTTTTATCCCTTTCCAGTTGTCCTCCAAAGTAGTTTCTTGTTCTTTCAGTAGATCCTGTAGAGCTTGGAACCTATTGTTGAGAGTTATCTTGAATTCTTGGAGCTTGTTAGTATCTCGAAGGAAGGCTGTATTAAACCTTTGTAGTGCTGTTTGTCCAGTTGTCCAGTCTTTCTTAAGCTTCAGTCTCATCTTGGCCACAACCAGGTGGTGATCTGAAGCTATGTCAGCTCCTCTCCGGGTTCTTACATCTTCCATTGATCTTCGGAATTTTTTGTTGATACAGATGTGATCTATCTGGTTCTCTGTGGTATGGTCCGGTGAGATCCATGTAGCTTTGTGTATGCGCTTGTGTGGGAATATTGTGCCGCCTATAACCAATTTGTTGAAAGCACATAGGTTTGCAAGTCTCTCACCATTTTCATTTCTTTCTCCTAGTCCGTTTCGTCCGATTATATCTTCATATCCTGTGTTGTCCACTCCAACTTTAGCATTTAGATCTCCCATCAGGATGGTGAGGTCCTTTCTTGAGCACTTTGCTACAACTGATTGCAGTCTTTCATAGAACTGATCTTTATCATCGTCGTTACTATCATTGGTGGGTGCATAACATTGGATAACGTTCATTGTGATCCCTTGCTTCTTTGTTCTGAATGATGCTTTGATTATCCTGGGTCCATGAGATTCCCATCCCACAAGTGCATTTCTTGCTTCTTTGGACAGCATTAGAGCAACTCCCTGAGTGTGTGGAGCATTTTCCCCTTCGTGACCGGAGTACAGCAGCATCTCTCCTGTACCTAGCCTTTGTTGTCCAGTTTGTGTCCAATGGGTTTCGCTGATTCCGAGTACTGCCAAGTTGTATCTCCTCATTTCCATTGCCATTTGGCTGGTCTTTCCTGTCTCCCACATTGTCCGGACGTTCCATGTACCTATAAAGAGTGTTGCTCTGGTTGTTAGAAGGTGCATCGGTCTCGTGACTTCCGAAGAATTTCGGCTTTCATCATGAGACGTCATAATTATTCCTTCAACTCCCAGGGCAGAGTTTAAATGGTTTGAATTATTTTTTCTGGTTAGCGTTTTTTTAGCGAGTTAGCTTTTCTACGGGATGGGGTCGCTAACCCCATGCCCAACCCTCCTCCTTTACCCGGGCTTTGGACCGGCAGTAACTCTAGAAGAGCTACAGGCGGAGTTATACACAATCATGAATATTGTAAAATACATGATTTTAACATATGATGGTGGTTGGAGGTGGTCAACAGGAAACCCTGGACCCGGGTTTCGTGCTACTTGGCACTCGTCAGCAAGGTATACCTGTAATCATGAGAGAACTGGTGTTCCTTGGAGGATTCGATCCCGTGTCACTCAGCTTCACAGTCAGAGACGTTACCACTGAGCTATTCCTGCCATGACCGACCTCCTGATTTTAACATATATCAAGTTTAATATTAAAAGAAAAAATTACCGCCTAAGATAAATCATTATCAGTTGAAGTTGTAATGACTCAATTTATACTATGAGTGGAGAGAAATGAACAAAACAAAAAGTAATAAATAAGTATCAATACCATGGTTGAACTTGATAGTTTCAAAAACGGTTAATAGCTCTATTTTAGCCCATTTAGTTCAGACGCGACATAGAGCCAACATCGAGCAATCTTTCACAATAATATATCGTGTTAACAGCAGTCTACCTAATTCCATCAGACTGATAATACTGCAGACGGCTGAGACAATTGCTATTCGTATCAGGCATCCAAAAGAAATATGTTCAGCTGCTCCTTTTACCCTGGCCAACTTCAGGGTCAACTTGTTAATAATCAATTCTATAATATGGTGACATTAATTTGATTAATGTTCATTAAACTTATTTTATCTTATCAGTCATTATTATTATTATCACACTTGTTAACCTTTTAGAGAAATTTATTCAGCATCCACCCCTATTTACTATATCTGACCTAATTCATATTATTCTACATATTAAGTAATTTCTGATTTGTAATCCCATTGTGCTATCTCACCCCCATGTCAATTATGCATATATTCTGATCATCATTTATCTTACGATTTTATTTCACTTATAAACTGATTCATGTTAACACTTCATCTTAGTTAGCTCCAACATTAACGATTCGATTTGATTTTATATGACAAACAACACTCCTTGATTCACATGTTACAGTTTTGTTAAATGATGTACTCTGCCTTAAACTTGGTCAATCTTCTTTTATGGATTATTAATTTGGATTTATAATTGTAGAGTACCTGATGAGAAATTATTGAAAAGAATATTCTTAGTTCATATAATTGTGTTTTAATATGATGGGAATTTTTCAGCGATCAGAAATTATTATTAATTTAAGGTAGAGTAAAATTTGCTTCATTTACCGATCCTTTACGGTAACCGTGTTTACTACATGTCTTATTCATTATTTTATCATGATGATTTATTGACATGTTTACACGCACATCACGTTTATTAAAATAGCAATGGTAACATCTGGAATGTGATTGACTTTTTCTTCTGCAATAAAAAAATAATCTTATCAGTCTGCAGGGATTTCCAGTTAATTAACATTCCATTAAAACGATGTACGTGCCTATGTATGATAAAACAAAAGATTTACCATAATCATTCTAATCAGAATTCGCAAAGCCTAGTTTTACAGAGAGTTTTATAATTATCATTTGTAATTCAAGAGTTGATCATTAGCTACAGTTCCTTACCTCTATAGTTGTTATATCATGTACAAAATATGTATGATGCTCTTACACTTATTATCATTTGAGCCGGTATCAAATGTCCACTTTTTGTTAATAAAACATTAGTATTTGTAAAATAAAAGTCAACGTTTTAACGAATAGACCTCAACATACACAATGGAAAAAATAAAGATCCTCAAATACAACACGGAGAACACCAACACAATAACAGTTGATGATGGAGAAACTCTGGAACAGGTGGAAAGTTTCGCGTACCTTACTAATCAGCATCATCGATAAACGTGGAGGATCTGATGCAGACGTAAAGGCAAGGATTAGCAAAGCAAGGACGGCATTACTACAGTTGAAGAACATATGGAACACAAAACACATGTCGACCAATATCAAAGTCACAATCTTCAATACGACGTCAAGACAGTTCGACTGTATGGAGCTAAAACATCGACAACTCCTACAACCATCATCAGAACAGTGCAGGTAATCATAAACAATTGTCTACGTAAGATACTCAACATCCGTTAGCTGAATACCATCAGCAACAGCCTACTGTGGGAGAGAACAAACCAACTTCCAAGCAGACATGAAAAGGATGAATAGCAAGTGGAAACAACTGGAAAGGAGAAACCAGAAAAGAGTTGTTTGGAGAGTGCTAGTGGGATGCCTATAATCCTTCACGAGGGGTAGTAGGTGTAAATAAGCAAGTAAGTTGTAGTAGTTTTATTATTATTGGTTATTGTGGTAACTAAATTTTTTATTTCAGCTCTGATTACTAACTCACTTGCTATTGTTTGTTTGGATCTTCACATTGATGTTTAGCACTGCAATTGATCAGTGTGTTATTGGCATATGTGCATACTGTACATATTGTGTTGATACAGCCTTTATTCACAAGGATTATAAACAAAGATGGATTGTGGCTAGCATTGGAATCCAGGACGCGCGTTTTGTCCTACTTGGAACTCGTCAAATGGACGTACCTGCACCTCAGAGTTGATGATCGCTCTGGGACTCGAACCCAGTACCTTTCGCTCCAAACGCCTTGCGTTATCCACTCAGCTACTGAGTTATGATAACCACTTAGTTGTGCAGATACATCCAGCTGAAGAGTCCCAAATAGGACAAAACACGTGTCCTGGATTCCACTGCTAGCTACTATCCATCTTTGCTTATACTGATTACTAACGCTTATAATCCTAGTTATATTATTATTTATCATGATCAAGATATAATCATGAGTATTATAAATATAAAAATGGAATATATGCATACCGTCGAATTGATTTTAGCTTTACTCAATCGATCTGAAGAAGTTGAATTATTACAATCAATATCATCAATATTCCGATCTTGACCTTGTTCTTTGGACATATTTCTAAAATTAAACGACAATAAGCCATGTTGAAATTTTGTCAATTTTAAGCGTGCAAAACTGACAATCATCGAGTAAATGAATCGGTGGCGGTTTCTGTTATAAAGTGAAACTAATTGATTGGTAGTTAAAAACCGGATGTCTCAATATGGCACTTCTCAGCTATGCACATCCTTAGCCTCCCATAAACTTTAACTTGGATCCTACAGTTATTACGCTACTTAAAAACCAACCAGTCGGAATGTCGTATGTTCATTTTGAGGCCTAATAATTCTAGATTCTGTCGCCGGGTAGGACATTAGCGTTCATTCCCGAAGTCCTCAGCTTAAACGTATGTCTGTTTTGATATATATATATTTTATATTTATATTTTAGCGCCTCCTCAGCTGATGTCAATCTATTTAGGCATAATTAAATGAAAGCAGCACCTACTATGGCGTGACGATGGGATGATCTAAGGTTTTTGATATAATTTTGAAGCTCATTTCTATTCGAACTAGGCATTGATAATGTTCAGTGAATGACTAGCAATTACACTATCAGGTTTCGAGAGTATAACACCTAAGAATACTTGCAAATTACTATCATTGACGATATGAACTTTGAACTTGTCAAGTATTGGTGCAAGAAAAGGGATAAACAATTAAAAGTTGGGACTAATTGAATTTCCGTTGATGTTGAACAAAATAGTAATACCTGTAATATGCCACCTAAACCGAAATTCCATGAACAAATCATGCTTAACTCGTTTAATGTAATCAGTGAAAGAAAAAAATGATCATTTGCAATAGCACCATTATTTAAACTTGTGTTGATTTAATGTTCGGTTGTTTATTTACTCTGAAAAAGTAACGTAGATTAAGTCATGAAACGTCAGAAATACAATTTTTCTATTCATTGGGATAAAACAAATAGCATACTTATTATTAACTCTCTACCCAATGCTCGATTTATTTGAAACTATCAAGTCCAACCTTGGTATGGATACATTTGCAATATTGTTAAATTAATCGAATTATTTGAAATTATAAACACACTTGAAAAAATTACTAAGTAAACAATCTGATTAACACTATTTTTATTCTGATTGATTTTACTATACTGTCTACATATAGACTGTTGTATCCGAAGACTAAATGAATGACAACTCCTGGAAATTATTTATAGGCTGTTATTATATGCATATTTTTATTGTATAACTATTGAGTATTTATTCATATATATTTTACGATTAGCCTTCATTTGACCTGTTGGTCACTATTATACGATTTAATAATCTTAATTTATTCCCAATCTATCGGCTACACATTCCCATACTCACAGGCACTTTTGCCTTGATCTTATATAACTATTATTTTCCATTTTATGGTATGCTGAGGTCTAGTCTGCTTGTATATAAACTACGTATTTCTGAAATATATTATTCATACCGTGGAGGCGGATATAATGTTTTGGGCAGAATGGTCAGGGGCAGGCGAGAAGCTACTATATCGAGAACTAACAAACATCCAGAGTTGATTCAAGGCCGGTTGTGCTGATTGACATGTCATTGGTTTAACACAGGGACATAGCCATAGAAGTCCATATTCTGATTGGCGATTTTGTTGTGATATTTAACAGAGGCATAAGTCATAACACAGACATTATAACTAGGTCATTGAATCAGCCTTTAATAGGTGTTTTGACATTAAAATTATCGTCAGTCAAAGTTATCAAATAATCTACACCCATTTTCAAGAAAGAGCAAACAATAAAAGGGTATAAACAACTTTAATAAAACTTTCTAAAATAACATAAATATCAGGAGGTGGGTGGATAGTGGTCATAATACAGGCCTAATAATCAGACTTTACACCTCCAAGTTATCATACATTAGAACTGCCTGAATAAAAATAAGTAAATTTTTGATGTTATAACAGATTTTAGGCTAAATCGCTCTTTTTATTTCTAATATGTAAATGAAGTACGGAACTCCCTAAATAGTTGGGTTTAGTAGCCAATTACTTTAAGGAATTTTCCCCATGTCTTTGATCTGACTTGCGTTAACCCTTTTACGTAACGTACTTCTACTGTATAATGCATTACTCATCAGACTACGTCAGGAATCAACACGAGTATCAAATCGCCGAATATTAATAACTAACTCAATGATCATTTGAGTTACTGAGACCGTCTTGATAAAATTAAATGTGGAATTTACGTAAAATGACAAGGAATCGACTCAGAAAGTCTATTTGTGCAACACTGTATAATGATTTTCCCTCGAGGTGATATCTGTTCGTCATATGACTTTACATCCATTAAGAAATTGAATATTTACTTTGTCTAAATTATATTTTTGTTCATGTGAGTGACTGAGTGTGTAAACGAGAGAGAGAGATGGTAATCATATGTAACTAAACTACAATACAAAAAAATCAATTACTTATGCAACGGTTATCAGGGAAGCTACAAATGAATGAAACCAATTATGTTCAAACAGATTTCTTTATAAATATTATTCAGTATTGATTAAGGCAACTTAAATGTGTATTGATGAATATACCATGGTAATTAAGTCAATGATTGAATAGTAAGAGTATATCTGATATATTAACTAACAAAAAATAATTACTCCTTGTGGATTTAACAAAGTCATCAACGTTATATTTAAAATAATTTGAAGATAAAAATGTTTTGGGTTGAGTTTTGAAAAGTTTTAAATAACAAGATTGAAATTTCATTGAAATATTCTATCACTAACAACGGTTTTGCCACAGAAAACACCTTTAAAATGACTACTGGGCAAATTCAGAAAATTATGCTCAGAACATACTTTTATTGACTAGAAGTAAAAATGTCAGTGAAGTCGTTTTGAAATATAACGAACACTACTGAGATATTCTAAATCATGGGTCAGCTTCAGCAACACAATAGTTAAAAATCAAGTAACAATGGGTAGTGTGTCGTCGTAGTTTATGACTCCTTCGAATTAGTCACCCAAGATATCACCAGGGTCAAGTCCACGACCATCAGGGTTGGCGATAAGTTTGTAATCTTTGCATTATTGAGTGGGGATCTAGTGACTAAAACTTCTTACTCATTGCACGTATTTTCATAAGTGATGGTCGCCTCTATATGTTGCTCACTCACCGCTAAACCAGTAAGTTCTGATTTTGATACTTGGTTAAGTCGTGCACCTCCACTGTTGAGGGATTCCATATTAGGACGAAACAGATCTAATGTTTCTTATTTTCTGGTGATAGATTCAGTCAGTAGTATGACTCATGTTATGAAACTTTACTCCCTAGAGTTAAGACATGACGTGGTCTATTGTCACACTTATATATTTTTTCTGAATCCGCATTAAGATCAAGGAAAAATGAAGCACACACTTATGTAGTCCATCAAAGGAGTAGAGTACTAGTTTTGAGTTTCTGTTCCAGTAAACTCTCCAGATTATATATGCGATATTTTAGTTGGTCGGTCAAATATATTGATGCAACTGTGTTTATTTTGATATATTACATTATCATAGCCTCTAGCTGTGTATGTGTATGAGCATGTTTTAAAGGTATCATAGTAGATGACAGTTGTAACACCTGAGAAGTTTTATTTTTTCTCTAAAATCTATTCAGTCATCCTTTTCTTTCTTGCGGCATTAAAAGAGAAACTAGTCAGCTTCAGTGCAATGATGTAAGAAGTCATGATTGCATTGCTGTTGAATGTATTTCTGTTGCACAAATGTTTACATTTATTTACGTTTAAATGGCTGAATTATTGTTGACATTATTGATCGCTTTACTCAATGTTATATTTTTGTTTGAATATAGAATCCTCCGCACAAACTATTTCAACAAGTCTACTTTCCCTATTGCTTGATCGATCCTGACGGTAAGTATTGAAATCGACATCTGAATAATGTTCATTTTTTCCAATGTATATTGCCAGACACCACAATATCTCTGATTGTAATTTATTGTGCCTTGTGAAGTGATAAATTGTAAACTTTTCATAAGCGCACCTGAATGGGTTATGTGATTAATGGACATGATAATGTGTTAAAATAAACAAAAAGGAGACTGGTTCAAATATCTAGATAGCAGAAACATGTAGCCCAGATATTCAAGCAGATCGCGTGCAGAATTTCTCACTATTTTTACTTGGAGTTATTATTCGGATTGATTAATGCACCTAATTAGTATTCCATAGATGCTGGACATTAGATGTCTTCGTAATATACGTTTCTATCCAAAGATAGGTTGTTTATACATTACGAATGAAATGAGAGAGTATTAGACAGTTGTTTCTCACACCATCTGCTATTTAGTGTACAACAAAACAATCTTTTATAAAATCCTATTTACGATAAAAATCGTGAAATAATTCTGATTACTTCTGTCAGATTCAGTGTTTTAGTAACTGAGTGCAAAAAAATTAAATATGTCCATCAAGGTGATTTGTGGTGTTTGTATAAGCTAATGATTCCTTTGTACTTGATGTCTGTCTGATTTCGAATTCCAAATACAATATATTCGTTCGTGCTCACTTAGTTCTTCTTGGTCTAAATTGAGTTATTTCTGGGATGCCTAGTTCGTACATCAATTCAAATACTTCTAATCATCACGGAATTATAGTTTAATTTCTCAACATATTGTTATATCTGTTGGAACTTTCTGATCATAAAGCTGTTATCAACCTACGAACCAGCTATAAATTATTCGTTGTAACTATACCACTTTTTAACAGCTGAATTCATGAGTTGATCTAAGCTAGACCACCATCGATAACTCGGATGCACTGGATGGCCGTTTCATCCTAGTACGGTACTCCTCAACAGTGCACATCTGCGACTTGAACTCAAGACCTTCGGTCTCGCGCCACAACGCTTAACAACTAGATCACTGAGCTGGAATCTAACAATGTTAATTTCTAATTTCAATCGATCCTTGATATTGAGCAACCCTTCATCCAATGTCTGTGGTGGTTAACTGTCTCACACCTGGCACAGACTAGACTC